CGGTCCAGTGTCCTACTGTGTCAACGGTCCAGTGTCCTACTGTGTCAACGGTCCAGTGTCCTACTGTGTCAACGGTCCAGTGTCCTACTGTGTCAACGGTCCAATGTCCTACTGTGTCAACGGTCCAGTGTCCTACTGTGTCAACGGTCCAGTGTCCTACTGTGTCAACGGTCCAGTGTCCTACTGTGTCAACGGTCCAGTGTCCTACTGTGTCCTACTGTGTCAACGGTCCAGTGTCCTACTGTGTCAACGGTCCAATGTCCTACTGTGTCAACGGTCCAGTGTCCTACTGTGTCAACGGTCCAGTGTCCTACTGTGTCCTACTGTGTCAACGGTCCAGTGTCCTACTGTGTCAACGGTCCAATGTCCTACTGTGTCAACGGTCCAGTGTTCTACCTTGTCAACGGTCCAGTGTCCTACTGTGTCCTACTATGTCCTACTGTGTCCTACTGTGTCAACGGTCCAGTGTCCTACTGTGTCAACGGTCCAATGTCCTACTGTGTCAACGGTCCAGTGTCCTACTGTATCAACGGTCCAGTGTCCTACTATGTCCTACTGTGTCCTCTAACCTACCTGTGTAAGCCCTGTCTTCCACCACATTGTCCACGGTTTTATCGTCCTCACATGTGTCACGTGGTCTGTCACATGTGTCACGTGGTCCGTCGCACCTGGACCGAGGGACGGGTGACGTGGGTCACGTGGGTCAGTCACCCAACACCAGACATGTGGGGTAGGTTCCAGCTGTTCTAGCTCTCGTGTAATGCATGCTAATTTTATGACGCCCCCCACCAACTCTGTCAGTGGGGTGGGGGATGTTTCTAGAAAGTTTAAATGCTGCTCACAATGTTCACATGATAATGGAAGATGGCGTAAACTGGATGGTATTTTTCTGGCACACCTCCCCCCATGCCAAAGAGTTGACCAGGTACCACGCCAGGATTTAGATCAAACTTGCCAGGCTGGCCAAGCTGAACATACCGTCCACAATGGTCAAGGACCACCTGGGAAACCAAGAAGTCACGTGACTAGTGTGACGTGCGGCCAATGGGACTGAGGCGGCCATTGCACCTGTTTCTCTCCCTTAACTTGATAGCGGACAGAATTATTCCCCTTTCATGGTTTGCATAGTCTTGTTAGAGTTGGGTTGCATTCAGTAATATCTCATGCGCCATTTTGTGGACACCTTTAGAGGGGAGGGGGGTTGAAGGGAGGGGGGGGGGGGGGGGGGGGCTCCTGTATCACGTGACCTGGTGACGTCAAGGATCACGTGACATGCTGACGTGAAGGATCTACATCGGATCGCACTTCACACTGGATGCTAAGATAAGCACATTATATGCTATATGACACTGTACACCAGATGACACTGTACGCCTGATGACACTGTACGCCAGATGACACTGTACGCCAGATGACACTGTACGCCAGATGACACTGTACGCCAGATGACACTGTACGCCAGATGACACTGTACGCCAGATGACACTGTACGCCTGATGACACTGTACGCCTGATGACACTGTACGCCAGATGACACTGTACGCCAGATGACACTGTACGCCTGATGACACTGTACGCCAGATGACACTGTACGCCAGATGACACTGTACGCTAGATGACACTGTACGCTAGATAGATACCTCAGGGACACATGCACATATGACAGCTAGTGGAGTATACCCAAGGTCAAGGGTTGGCATGGTGGGTATACCCAAGGTCAAGGGTTGCCATGGTGGGGTACACCCCAAGGTCAAGGGTTGGCATGGTAGAGTATACACACTCAAGGTCACGCGTTGGTATAGAGGAGTACACCCAAGGTCAAGGGTTGGCATGGTGGAGTATACCCAGGGTCACGGGTTGAGACAATTTTCTAAAGAAATAAAAAAATGTTGACTTACGTGAAAGACTTCGAGTGCAGACAGCAGACGACTGGAGCAGAAATATTGTACCAAGCGTCCAGACGGACAGGTCCAGAGATTCAACTTTTGGTCTCGGTTGTGACGTGTGTTGGGTGTGGGGGGGAGGGGGTGAATACCTGGCCCTACACACTTGCCCAGCAGTAGAAACGTGAACATAAATCATTTTTTGTTGTTGTGTCTGGGGGAGGGGGGACCTCACCAGAGCATGTCTTGTGTGTCGGCCTTTTCATTCCCAGCAACATCGGGTCAGGGTAAGTGTTCTGGTCAGAATCATTATAGTTGTGTCCTAATTTATTCAATCATTATAGTTGTGTCCTAATTTATTCAATCATTATAGTTGTGTCCTAATTTATTCAGTCATTTTAGTTGTGTCCTAATTTATTCAATCATTATAGTTGTGTCCTAATTTATTCAATCATTATAGTTGTGTCCTAATTTATTCAGTCATTTTAGTTGTGTCCTAATTTATTCAATCATTTTAGTTGTGCTCTAATTTATTCAATCATTATAGTTGTGTCCTAATTTATTCAATCATTATAGTTGTGTCCTAATTTATTCAATCATTATAGTTGTGTCCTAATTTATTCAGTCATTTTAGTTGTGTCCTAATTTATTCAATCATTATAGTTGTGTCCTAATTTATTCAGTCATTTTAGTTGTGTCCTAATTTATTCAATCATTATAGTTGTGTCCTAATTTATTCAATCATTATAGTTGTGTCCTAATTTATTCAGTCATTTTAGTTGTGTCCTAATTTATTCAATCATTATAGTTGTGTCCTAATTTATCCAATCATTATAGTTGTGCTCTAATTTATTCAATCATTTTAGTTGTGCTCTAATTTATTCAATCATTTTAGTTGTGCTCTAATTTATTCAATCATTTTAGTTGTGCTCTAATTTATTCAATCATTTTAGTTGTGCTCTAATTTATTCAATCATTATAGTTGTGCCCTAATTTATTCAGTCATTTTAGTTGTGTCCTAATTTATTCAATCATTATAGTTGTGCTCTAATTTATTCAATCATTATAGTTGTGCTCTAATTTATTCAATCATTATAGTTGTGTCCTAATTTATTCAATCATTTTAGTTGTGCTCTAATTTATTCAATCATTATAGTTGTGTCCTAATTTATTCAATCATTTTTGTTGTGCTCTAATTTATTCAATCATTATAGTTGTGCCCTAATTTATTCAATCATATTCAATCATTATAGTTGTGCCCTAATTTATTCAATCATATTCATACATTATAGTTGTGCCTTAATTAATTCTATCATTCTACTTGTATCCTACATATTTTAATTGTGTCGCCCCCCCTCCCCTAGGGCGATAAACCTTCTACTGAAGTCATCAACTTTTTGTTACACTTTAAAATCGCCCTGGTGACGCCACTGTTTAGTTTTACAATCCTATTCCTGCCTGTACCCTTTTTGTGACGCCATTTCCCACCCACACCCCTATTTGTGACGCCACTTCCGGCCTTCCCCTATTTGTGACGCCACTTCCCACACGCACCCCTATTTGTGACGCCACTTCCGGCCTTCCCCTATTTGTGACGCCACTTCCCATCCGCACCTTATTTGTGACGCCACTTCCCACCCGCACCCCTATTTGTGACGCCACTTCCGGCCTTCCCCTATTTGTGACGCCACTTTATACCCGCACCTTATTTGTGACGCCACTTCCTGCCCCCCCTATTTGTGACGCCACTCCTGCCCCCCCTTATTTGTGACGCCACTCCTGCCCCCCTTATTTGTGACGCCACTCCTGCCCCCCACTTATTTGTGACGCCACTCCTACCCCCACCCCTTATTTGTGACGCCACTCCTGTCCCCCTTATTTGTGACGCCACTCCTGCCCCCCTTATTTGTGACGTCACTCCTACCCCACCCCTTATTTGTGACGCCACTCCTGTCCCCCCCCCCACCCCTTATTTGTGAAGCCACTCCTGCCCCCCCCCTCTCTTATTTGTGACGCCACTCCTACCCCCCCCCTTATTTGTGACGCCACTCCTGCCCCCCTCCCTTATTTGTGACGCCACTCCTGCCCCCCCCCCCTTATTTGTGACGCCACTCCTACCCCCACCACTTATTTGTGACGCCACTACTGCCCCCCCCCCTCTTATTTGTGACGCCACTCCTCCCCCCTTATTTGTGACGCCACTCTTGCCCCCCCCCTCTTATTTGTGACTCCACTCCTACCCCCACCCCTTATTTGTGACGCCACTCCTGTCCCCCTTATTTGTGACGCCACTCCTGCCCCCCCCCTTATTTGTGACGCCACTCCTGCCCCCCCCCTTATTTGTGACGCCACTCCTGCCCCTCCTTATTTGTAACGCCACTCCTACCACCCCCCCCTTATTTGTGACGCCACTCCTACCCCCCCCCCCTTATTTGTGACGCCACTCCTGCCTCCCCCCTTATTTGTGACGCCACTCCTGCCCCCCCTCCCTTATTTGTGACGCCACTCCTACCCCCCCCCCCTTATTTGTGACGCCACTCCTACCCCCCTTATTTGTGACGCCACTCCTGCCCCCCCCCCCTTATTTGTGACGCCACTCCTACCCCCCCCCCCTTATTTGTGACGCCACTCCTGCCCCCCCCCCCCTTATTTGTGACGCCACTCCTACCCCCCCCCCCCTTATTTGTGACGCCACTCCTGCCCCCCCCCCCTTATTTGTGACGCCACTCCTGGCCCCCCCCTTATTTGTGACGCCACTCCTACCCCCCTTATTTGTGACGCCACTCCTACCACCCCCCCCCCCTCCTTATTTGTGACGCCACTCCTACCACCCCCCCCCCTCCTTATTTGTGACGCCACTCCTGCCGCCCATGTAGAAAGGACCGCCGTGAGACTGGGCAGATGTGACGTAGACATGTAGGTCAATGCCAGACTGACACAGGTCTGCCGCATTACGTCAGAGGTTAACGACACTTCATACATGTCAGCCAATCAAATTCTGCTGACAAAGTCACGTGACCAGATGAGATGGTTTAAATGGAACCACATGAATATTTAATAACCGAATTGGTCACAGACCATCCTAGGGTAAGTAACCGCATCATAATTCTTTTCCAGGGGCAGAGAACTGCTTGTGAATTACCTGGACTTTGTGAGATATTTTGTTCTAAGGTACGTAATGCCATAACATTTCAATGTTGCTTCAGATGTTTAGATCTAGCAAAAATTCAACTTTAGCGTTAGGTTGGCATCGTGAGACGCTTAAAACAAAACGTACAACAAAACTTACAACAAAACTTACAACAAAACTTACAACAAAACTTACAACAAAACTTACAACAAAACTTACAACAAAACTTACAACAAAACTTACAACAAAACTTACAACAAAAGGGGAAGGGTGGGGGGGAGGGGGGGGGGGGGGTTAGAGCACACTGGTGTGTAGCTTCAAAGTTGTGGGGGTCTGTACGACTGTGGTGGTACACTGTGGTGGTACACTGTGATGGTACACTGTGGTGGTACACTGTGGTGGTACACTGTGGTGGTACACTGTGGTGGTACACTGTGATGGTACACTGTGATTGTACACTGTGATGGTACACTGTGGTGGTACACTGTGGTGGTACACTGTGGTGGTACACTGTGATGGTACACTGTGGTGGTACACTGTGGTGGTACGCTGTGATGGTACACTATGATGGTACACTGTGATGGTACACTGTGGTGGTACTTTTGTGCCGCAAGCTGACTACAACTGATCTAGTCAAATGCAAATGTTTATACCTTCAACTCTCACTAACATTGCTCTCTTATTGTTATTGTTTTACCAATGTACACGTTCAGCGAAGATTGTGGTGAGACTATAACAGACGAGAGAAGATTGTGGTCAGACTATAACAGACGAGAGAAGATTGTGGTCAGACTATAACAGACGAGAGAAGATTGTGGTGAGACTATAACAGACGAGAGAAGATTGTGGTGAGACTATAACAGACGAGAGAAGATTGTGGTGAGACTATAACAGACGAGAGAAGATTGTGGTGAGACTATAACAGACGAGAGAAGATTGTGGTCAGACTATAACAGACGAGAGAAGATTGTGGTCAGACTATAACAGACGAGAGAAGATTGTGGTGAGACTATAACAGACGAGAGAAGATTGTGGTGAGACTATAACAGACGAGAGAAGATTGTGGTGAGACTATAACAGACGAGAGAAGTTTGTGGTGAGACTATAACAGACGAGAGAAGATTGTGGTGAGACTATAACAGACGAGAGAAGATTGTGGTGAGACTATAACAGACGAGAGAAGATTGTGGTGAGACTATAACAGACGAGAGAAGATTGTGGTAAGACTATAACAGACGTGAGAAGATTGTGGTGAGACTACTGTAGGCCTGACATTGACCACCCCCCAGTTGACGTGTTAAATCCTCTCCGTGCACCCCCACCCCCCAGTTGACGTGTTAAATCCTCTCCGTGCACCCCCACCCCCCAGTTGACGTGTTAAATCCTCTCCGTGCACCCCTCCCCCCCCCCAGAGGACGACATGAGGCTGGCACCCAGAGAGCTGGACGGGCTCCTCATCTTTCAGGCAGGGAGCCTGGCCCAGAGGAGGCTGGCCCGGGGGGTCAGGCTTAACCAACCAGAAGCTGTAGCGCTCATATCCATCGTGGTAAGTGATTGTATTATGTTCTAATACACGGGTTCCCAACCTGGGGGTCGCGACCCCCCTGGGGGTCGCCAAGGGCTTTCTGGGGGGTCGCCAACTGATATACTAAACCTAAGTAATGAGAAACAAAACATAAATATTTAGAAGAATATCTGCAGTTCTGCTTTACTAACATCACTGGAATTCAAATAGAGAAGAAGCAAAGCGTAGGCCTACTGTGCAAAGTTGTTCTCAGTCACGAGTTTATAAAATCTTCAAAACTAAAACGTCATTTGAGACGAGTCATTCGGAACACACCAAAAAAGATATAGCATGAAGCTAGTTGCAAACGTACGTCAGAGACTTGATCGAACAGGAAGTTTTTACCAAGGAAATACAGCATTAGCGCAAGCATCAAATGAAGTTGCGATAGAAAATGCCAAGCACAAAAAAAAAACACACAATAGAAGAAAATCTCATCAAACGCTGCATGTTGAAGATAGTGAAGTTAATTCTTGGGGATTCCAGTGCAGTAAAGATGAAACAAATATCTCTGCCTAATAATACTACTCAGCGGCTTGTAGCCGACGTGTCCGTAGATATTAAATAACAAATTTGTAATGAAATCAAGCGTTCACCATTGTTTGCTTTTCAAGTTGATACATCGATAGACGTGAGTTCGTGTTCGCAGTTGCTGGTCTTTGTCTATATTTATTCAGATGATAGCAAAGAAGAGTTGCTATTTTGTGAAATAGCATGGAGAAAATAAATACATTTTTTTTTACTGGAAGATTAAAGTTGGTTAAAACGGCTTTAGGGGTTTGTACGGATGGTGCGCTATCCAGGTTTAGGTAAAAATCGGGCATTCAGAAAACAGAAAAGATTTAGCTCACTAGCCACTGCATGATTTACCAGTACGCCCTCGTCATCAAGACTCCATTGCAAGTAACAGTCGTACTCTATATTTAATCGGGAGCAAAGACATTAATATAGATCACGAGGTTCTGCTCTTCTACACTACAGTACGCTGGCTGTCAAACGAAATGTTGTGAATCGTGTTTTTGAATTGAAATCTGAAATCAAATTGTTCTTGGAAGTGCAAAGGAAACAAGACCTTTTGGTATACTTAAAACGACATAGAGTGGTTGGAGAGAGTATCATACCTAGCAGATATATTCGAACATCAACGTAAGCTTAACCTGAAGCTTCAGGGAAAATGAACGAGGATTATTACTTTCCATAATAATCTCGGGGCATTTTTATCAAAGCTGCAAAATTGGCGAAGAAAATAAATCTTGGAAATGTTGTACATTTGAGAAACTCTGCAGTGTGGTAGATGAACCTGATTGTGAGATAATTAAAATTTTGAAAGAAACGATTTCTGGGCATCTTGAATCTCTTGAAAATGAACTGCAGCGCTATTTCCCTGAGCTGAAAGAAGAAGAATCTGCATTGACGCAATACCCATTCTCTACTTCCCTTGATGTTGCCAGCATTCCCGATGAATTACAAGGTGAATTCTTTGATTTGCAGAATGATTCCGCCTAAGATGAAAAACTGCTCACACAATTTTGGTGTATTATTCACCATTCATACCCAAACATAAAATTGATCGACTTTTCGAGAATAGCCTTTCAACACTATTCTTCGATTAAAAACAAAATTAAGAAGTAAATTGAATGTTGATAATGACATAGGTTAGCGTTAACAAAAACTTATTAACCGCGAATGTTTAGTAAATAGCATGCAATTTCACACATCGTATTAAAACAGTTATCAAGAGTAGTTCATATTGAAAGTCTTCTAGAAAATCTTATTTTAGTGCTTATTACTTTCCATACTAAATTCGGCTTTTTAATTTTATGGGGGTCGCGGGTCACTAACTATTTATAAAAGGGGGTCGCCACTCGAAAAAGGTTGGGAACCACTGTTCTAATAGATCTGTTGTGTGATGAATAGATTTCTTGTCTGATGAATAGATCTGTTGTCTGATGAATAGATTTGTTGTCTGATGAATAGATTTGTTGTCTGATGAATAGATTTGTTGTCTGATGAATAGATTTGTTGTCTGATGAATAGATTTGTTGTCTGATGAATAGATTTGTTGTCTGATGAATAGATTTTATGTCTGATGAATAGATGTGTTGTCTGATGAATAGATTTGTTGTCTGATGAATAGATTTTATGTCTGATGAATAGATTTGTTGTCTGATGAATAGATTTGTTGTCTGATGAATAGATTTGTTGTCTGATGAATAGATTTGTTGTCTGATGAATAGATTTGTTGTCTGATGAATAGATTTGTTGTCTGATGAATAGATTTGTTGTCTGATGAATAGATTTGTTGTCTGATGAATAGATTTGTTGTCTGATGAATAGATTTGTTGTCTGATGAATAGATTTGTTGTCTGATGAATAGATTTGTTGTCTGATGAATAGATTTGTCTGATGAATAGATTTGTCTGATGAATAGATTTGTTGTCTGATGAATAGATTTGTTGTCTGATGAATAGATTTGTTGTCTGATGAATAGATTTGTTGTCTGATGAATAGATTTGTTGTCTGATGAATAGATTTTATGTCTGATGAATAGATTTGTTGTCTGATGAATAGATTTGTTGTCTGATGAATAGATTTGTTGTCTGATGAATAGATTTGTTGTCTGATGAATAGATTTGTTGTCTGATGAATAGATTTGTTGTCTGATGAATAGATTTGTTGTCTGATGAATAGATTTTATGTCTGATGAATAGATTTTATGTCTGATGAATAGATTTTATGTCTGATGAATAGATTTGTTGTCTGATGAATAGATTTGTTGTCTGATGAATAGATTTGTTGTCCGATGAATAGATTTGTTGTCTGATGAATAGATTTGTTGTCTGATGAATATATTTGTTGTCTCATGAATAGATTTGTCTGATGAATAGATTTGTTGTCTGATGAATAGATTTGTTGTCTGATGAATAGATTTGTTGTCTCATGAATAGATTTGTTGTCTCATGAATAGATTTGTTGTCTCATGAATAGATTTGTCTGATGAATAGATTTGTTGTCTGATGAATAGATTTGTTGTCTGATGAATAGATTTGTTGTCTGATGAATAGATTTGTTGTCTGATGAATAGATTTGTTGTCTGATGAATAGATTTGTTGTCTGATGAATAGATTTGTTGTCTGATGAATAGATTTGTTGTCTGATTAATAGATTTGTTGTCTGATGAATAGATTTGTTGTCTGATGAATAGATTTGTTGTCTGATGAATAGATTTGTCTGATGAATAGATTTGTTGTCTGATGAATAGATTTGTTGTCTGATGAATAGATTTGTTGTCTGATGAATAGATTTGTTGTCTGATGAATAGATTTGTCTGATGAATAGATTTGTCTGATGAATAGATTTGTTGTCTGATGAATAGATTTGTCTGATGAATAGATTTGTTGTCTGATGAATAGATTTGTCTGATGAATAGATTTGTTGTCTGATGAATAGATTTGTTGTCTGATGAATAGATTTGTTGTCTGATGAATAGATTTGTTGTCTGATGAATAGATTTGTTGTCTGATGAATAGATTTGTTGTCTGATGAATAGATTTGTTGTCTGATGAATAGATTTGTCTGATGAATAGATTTGTCTGATGAATAGATTTGTTGTCTGATGAATAGATTTGTTGTCTGATGAATAGATTTGTTGTCTGATGAATAGATTTGTTGTCTGATGAATAGATTTGTTGTCTGATGAATAGATTTGTTGTCTGATGAATAGATTTGTTGTCTGATGAATAGATTTGTTGTCTGATGAATAGATTTGTTGTCTGATGAATAGATTTGTTGTCTGATGAATAGATTTGTTGTCTGATGAATAGATTTGTTGTCTGATGAATAGATTTGTTGTCTGATGAATAGATTTGTTGTCTGATGAATAGATTTGTCTGATGAATAGATTTGTTGTCTGATGAATATATTTGTCTGATAAATATATTTGTTGTCTGATGAATAGATTTGTTGTCTGATGAATAGATTTGTTGTCTGATGAATAGATTTGTTGTCTGATGAATAGATTTGTTGTCTGATGAATAGATTTGTTGTCTGATGAATAGATTTGTTGTCTGATGAATAGATTTGTCTGATGAATAGATTTGTTGTCTGATGAATAGATTTGTTGTCTGATGAATAGATTTGTTGTCTGATGAATAGATTTGTTGTCTGATGAATAGATTTGTTGTCTGATGAATAGATTTGTTGTCTGATGAATAGATTTGTTGTCTCAACAGCTGCAAGAACTGGCCAGAGACGGGCAACGAGTAACAGATCTGATGGAGAAAGGGAGGCAACTCCTCGGTTTGTTGGGTGGTTGTGTGGACTGTGTGTGGGTGGTTGTGTGGACTGTGTGTGGGTGGTTGTGTGGAATGTGTGTGGGTGGTTGTGTGGACTGTGTGTGGGTGGTTGTGTGGGCAGTGTGTGGGTGGGTGTGTGGACTGTGTGTGTGTGGTTGTGTGGACTGTGTGTGTGTGGTTGTGTGGACTGTGTGTGGGTGGTTGTGTGGGCAGTGTGTGGGTGGGTGTGTGGGCAGTGTGTGGGTGGGTGTGTGGATAGTGTGTGGGTGGGTGTGTGGATAGTGTGTGGGTGGTTGTGTGGGCAGTGTGTGGGTGGGTGTGTGGATAGTGTGTGGGTGGGTGTGTGAATAGTGTGTGGGTGGTTGTGTGGACTGTGTGTGGGTGGTTGTGTGGGCAGTGTGTGGGTGTGTGGATAGTGTGTGGGTGGTTGTGTGGGCAGTGTGTGGGTGTGAAGATAGTGTGTGGGTGGTTGTGTGAACAATGTGTGGGTAGTTGTGTGGACAATGTGTGGGTGGTTGTTTGGATGGTTGTGTGTGTAGTGTTTGGGCAATGTGTGGGTGATTGTGTGGACAGTGTGTGGACAGTGTGAAGTGTCTAGCAGTTCAAACTTTCAATGTGTGGATGATTGACATCTTATAACTCCGCCCCCTCAGGGTTAAACCAGGTCATCCCAGGGGTGGAAGACATGGTGAGCGAGGTCCAGATCGAGGCTACATTTCCTGACGGCACCAAACTGGTGAGTCAAACTTTGGGAGATCAGAGGTCAATGTTAGGGACGGAGTGGACTAGCGGTAGAGAGCTGGACTGCTGACCCATAAGTCTCGAGTTCGAATCCGGGTTTAAATTTAAAATTGGCCTGTGTGTGCCAGATAAATTATTTCAAACAATCCTTACAGGTGACTGTCCACAAACCTATTGTCCGACAACATGGCGACCTGAGTCTGGCATTGTACGGGAGTTTTCTGCCAGTTCCTGAGATCACAACCCTAACAGCAGACCAGAACGGACACAATGTAACTGTTGGTGTGGTGGGCAGGGAGGGGGGGGGAGAGATAGTTTCAGGGTGGGGAGACTGTCTTGCCACTGTATCGTATTTGAGGGTGAGGTAGGGGTGGAGATAATCAAATTTAAAGAGTAAATAGGACTACACATCAAACAATAACATGGCTATTGACCTTATATGGCTACACATCAAACAATAACAAGGCTATTCACCTTATATGACTACACATCAAACAATAACAAGGCTATTGACCTTATATGACTACACATCAAACAATAACAAGGCTATTCACCTTATATGGCTAAACATCAAACAATAACAAGGCTATTGACCTTTACGTAGGACGTCAGCCATAACTTGATCACGTGTCCTGTTGACGTCACACCCGGTGAACTCCTGGTTAAAGAAGGGGAGATCACTATCAACAAGGGCAGGGAATCCATTCTCTTAGACGTCACAAATTACTGCGACCGTCCCATTCAGGTATTGAAAGTCTACCCCTGGCCTGTCTCTCCTTAAGTTGTCTGCCCTAAGTCTGTCTCTCCTTAAGTTGTCTGCCCTAAGTCTGTCTCTCCTTAAGTTGTCTACCCCTGGTCTGTCTCTCCTTAAGTTGTCTTCCCTAAGTCTGTCTCTCCTTAAGTTGTCTGCCCTAAGTCTGTCTCTCCTTAAGTTGTCTACCCTAAGTCTGTCTCTCCTTAGGTTGTCTGCCCTAAGCCTGTCTCTCCTTAAGTTGTCTACCCTAAGTCTGTCTCTCCTTAAGTTGTCTGCCCTAAGTCTGTCTCTCCTCAAGTTGTCTACCCTAAGTCTGTCTCTCCTTAAGTTGTCTACCCCTGGTCTGTCTCTCCTTAAGTTGTCTACCCTAAGTCTGTCTCTCCTTAAGTTGTCTACCCTAAGTCTGTCTCTCCTCAAGTTGTCTGCCCTAAGTCTGTCTTTCTTTAAGTTGTCTGCCCTAAGTCTGTCTCTCCTTAAGTTGTCTACCCTAAGCCTGTCTCTCTTTAGGTTGTCTGCCCTAAGTCTGTCTCTCCTCAAGTTGTCTACCCTAAGTCTGTCTCTCCTTAAGTTGTCTACCCCTGGTCTGTCTCTCCTAAAGTTGTCTACCCCTGGTCTGTCTCTCCTTAAGTTGTCTACCCTAAGTCTGTCTCTCCTTAAGTTGTCTACCCTAAGTCTGTCTCTCCTCAAGTTGTCTACCCTAAGTCTGTCTCTCCTCAAGTTGCCTACCCCTGGTCTGTCTCTCCGTTGTCTGCCCTAAGTCTGTCTCTCCTTAAGTTGTCTACCCTAAGTCTGTCTCTCCTTAGGTTGTCTGCCCTAAGCCTGTCTCTCCTTAAGTTGTCTACCCTAAGTCTGTCTCTCCTTAAGTTGTCTGCCCTAAGTCTGTCTCTCCTCAAGTTGTCTACCCTAAGTCTGTCTCTCCTTAAGTTGTCTACCCCTGGTCTGTCTCTCCTTAAGTTGTCTACCCCTGGTCTGTCTCTCCTTAAGTTGTCTACCCTAAGTCTGTCTCTCCTTAAGTTGTCTACCCTAAGTCTGTCTCTCCTCAAGTTGTCTGCCCTAAGTCTGTCTTTCTTTAAGTTGTCTGCCCTAAGTCTGTCTCTCCTTAAGTTGTCTACCCTAAGCCTGTCTCTCTTTAGGTTGTCTGTCCTAAGTCTGTCTCTCCTCAAGTTGTCTACCCTAAGTCTGTCTCTCCTTAAGTTGTCTACCCCTGGTCTGTCTCTCCTAAAGTTGTCTACCCCTGGTCTGTCTCTCCTTAAGTTGTCTACCCTAAGTCTGTCTCTCCTTAAGTTGTCTACCCTAAGTCTGTCTCTCCTCAAGTTGTCTACCCTAAGTCTGTCTCTCCTCAAGTTGCCTACCCCTGGTCTGTCTCTCCTCAAGTTGTCTGCCCTAAGTCTGTCTCTCCTTAAGTTGTCTACCCCTGGTCTGTCTCTCCTAAAGTTGTCTACCCCTGGTCTGTCTCTCCTTAAGTTGTCTACCCTAAGTCTGTCTCTCCTTAAGTTGTCTACCCTAAGTCTGTCTCTCCTCAAGTTGTCTACCCTAAGTCTGTCTCTCCTTAAGTTGTCTACCCCTGGTCTGTCTCTCCTTAAGTTGTCTACCCCTGGTCTGTCTCTCCTTAAGTTGTCTACCCTAAGTCTGTCTCTCCTTAAGTTGTCTACCCTAAGTCTGTCTCTCCTCAAGTTGTCTGCCCTAAGTCTGTCTTTCTTTAAGTTGTCTGCCCTAAGTCTGTCTCTCCTTAAGTTGTCTACCCTAAGCCTGTCTCTCTTTAGGTTGTCTGTCCTAAGTCTGTCTCTCCTCAAGTTGTCTACCCTAAGTCTGTCTCTCCTTAAGTTGTCTACCCTAAGTCTGTCTCTCCTCAAGTTGTCTACCCTAAGTCTGTCTCTCCTCAAGTTGCCTACCCCTGGTCTGTCTCTCCTCAAGTTGTCTGCCCTAAGTCTGTCTCTCCTTAAGTTGTCTACCCCTGGTCTGTCTCTCCTAAAGTTGTCTACCCCTGGTCTGTCTCTCCTTAAGTTGTCTACCCTAAGTCTGTCTCTCCTTAAGTTGTCTACCCTAAGTCTGTCTCTCCTCAAGTTGTCTACCCTAAGTCTGTCTTTCCTTAAGTTGCCTACCCCTGGTCTGTCTCTCCTCAAGTTGTCTGCCCTAAGTCTGTCTCTCCTTAAGTTGCCTACCCCTAGACTGTCTCTCCTCAATTTACCTAGAAAACACAATTCAAAGATTTTAAAAATGAACTGTTTGACCTCCCAGATTGGAAGCCACTACCACTTTATTGAGACCAACAAAAACTTAACCTTCGACCGTGAGGCGTCCTATGGGAAAAGACTGGTGAGATTTTTTTATTTGTTATTTCTGTTTGTTAGGCTATAGACAGTTGATCTTTGATCTGTAGCCTAGCCCGATGAAAGATCATAAACAGCTGACCTACTCTAGCCAAAGTAGTTGACCAAACCTATCCTAATTTATTGCCTTAATCCTAATCTCTTTTGATGAGAACCACCTGCATGTTTACATTTGATTTCTAGAACATCCCAGCAGGTACGGCCGTGAGATTTGAACCAGGTGCTATAAAGACAGTTCACCTTGTGGACATTGCTGGTAAAAGGTGGGTCACTTTTGTCTGAAAACCAAATAGCTAGCAAATATTTTAGACCAGTGGTTCCCAACCTTTTTCGAGTGGCGACCCCCTTTTATAAAAAGTAAGTGACCCGCGACCCCCATAGAATTAAAAAGCCGAAATTAGTATGGAAATTAATAAGCACTAAAATAAGATTTTCTAGTAGACTTTCAATATGAACTACTCTTGATAACTGTTTTAATAGCATGAGTAAAATTGCATACTATTCACTAAACCTTCGTGGTTAAGTTTTTAATTTTTAAATTTTTTGTTAACGCCAACCTATGTCATTATAATTATCTTAATTTTGTTTTTAATCGAAGAATAGTGTTGAAAATATATTCTCGAAAAGTCAATCAATTTTACGTTTGGGTATGAATGGTGAATACCTACTACACCAAAATTGTGCCTGCAGTTTTTCATCTTACTCGAAATCATTCTGCAAATCAAAGAATTCATCTTGTAATTCATCGGGAATGCTGGCAACATCAAGGGAAGTAGAGAATGGGTAATGCGTAAATGCAGATTCTTCATTTTTCATCTCAGAGAAATAGCCATGCAGTTCGTTTTCAAGAGATTCAAGATGCCGAGAAATCGCTTCTTTCAAAAGTTTAATTATCTCACAATCAGATTCATCTACCACACAGCAGAGTTTCTCAAATTTACAATATTTCCACGATTTGGTTTCTTTACCGATTTTGCAGCTGTGATAAAAATGCCCCGAGATTATCATGGAAAGTTATAATATTCGTTCATTTTCCTTGAAGCTTAAGGTTAAGCTTATGTTGATGTTCGAACACATCTGCTAGGTATGATACTCTCTCCAACCAAAACGTCTTCTTTCCTTTGCACTCCCCAATAACAATTTGATTTCAGATTTCAATTCAAAAACACAATTTACAACATTTCGTTTGACAACCAGCGTACTGTAGTGTAGAAGAGCAGAACCTCGTGATCTATATTAACGTTTTTGCTCAGTTATTTGAAGGCTCCAGATTTTATATAATTTACGACTTATACTAGCAATGGACTCTTGATGTCGATTGGATAGGGCAGTGGTTAGGGAGCTAAATCTTTTCTGTTTTCTGAAAGCCCGATTTTGAGCTAAACATAGATGGCGCACCATCCGTACGAACCCCCACAGCCGTTCTAACACATTTTAATCATCCAGTTTTTAAAAAAGGTATTTATTTTCTCCATGCTATCTTCACAAAATAGCAACTCTTTTATCTTTGCTATCATGCGCATGAATATAGACACAGACCAGCAACTGCGAACACAAACTCACGTCTGTTGATTTATCAACTTGAAAAGCAAACAATGGTGAAAGCTTAATTTCAATAAAAATGTGTTATTTAACATTTACGTACATGCAGCGTTTGATGAGATTTTCTCCTATTTTTTTTTTTTTTTTTTTTTTTTTTTTTGCTTGGCATTTTCTATCGCGACTTTATTTGATGCTTGCACTAATGCTGGTGAAAACTTCCAGTTCGATCAAGTTTCTGGCGTTTGCAAATAGCTTCTTACCGACGAAAGAACTCCAAATCTTTTTTGGTGTGTTCCGGTGGAGATTTCATAGATTCGTGACTGAGAACAACTTTGTACAGTGCGATTTGTTTCTTCTCTATTACATTTCCAGTGATGTTAATGAAGTCGAATTTCAAAAATTCTTCTAAATATTTATATTTTGTTTCAAATTACTAAAGTTTAGTATACCAGTTGGCGACCCCCCAGAAAGACCTTCGCGACCCCCAGGGGGGTCGCGACCCCCAGGTTGGGAACCCGTGTTTTAGACGAAGGGGATATGGTCTACTTTGGGGTAAGTAACCTCCCCCCCCATTTCTGTTAGGGGGGGGGAGGGTCCAAAACTTGCCAACAAACTCAATAAGAGTCTATTGCAATGTTTTATATATATTATAGTGTAATGATTTTCTTTCAGGAATGTCTGTCATTAGATATGTTATGTAAAATCTAGAATCTTATTTTTAAGAAAAAAAAATATATTTTGTCAGTGATTTTAAAGTCAGGCTTTAAATGTTAAAAAAGTCTTAAGATTTTAAAAAGGTCAGGTTTTAACTGTTAAAAAATCTGTCAAGATTTTAAAAAGGTTATGTTTTAACTGTAAAAAAATCTGTCAAGATTTTAAAAAGGTCAGGTTTTAACTGTAAAAAAATCTGTCAAGATTTTAAAAAGGTCAGGTTTTAACTGTTAAAAAATCTGTCAAGATTTTAAAAAGGTCAGGTTTTAACTGTTACAAAATCTGTCAAGATTTTAAATAGGTCATGTTTTAACTGTAAATAAACCGGGAGTGATATCCCCTAAACTTTCTCGAATATTCTTATATAACTTTGAATATAAACATGATTTTTAATTACTTAAACTTTTAAAAATAGAATAGAATCTCATAGAAAAAAGAATTGCGCACCAAGCGAACACAAAAAAAATATGCATAATAGTGTCCAACATTAGTACTTTATAAATTTACATGCGTTTTTTGAGAAATCGGAAATAGCGTAAATTAGTACTTCCGGTCAACGGAAATTACTCAAAATTTGACAGAAGGTAGAGAATTAGATCTTTTACTTACATGTGAAATTTCATTTATCTATCTGAAACAGTCCTCAAGTTATAGGCTTTTGATAAATTCAAAGTAGAAAAAGTACCACTTCCAGTTATCGGAAATCGCTCAAAAGTCGATACGGATCTACGATTTTGATAAAATACTTATATATGAAATTTCATCAACCTAGCTGTAACGGTACTCAAGTAATCGTGTTTACACACACACAGACACACAGACAGACAGACATACGGACAAGATTGCAAAATTATGTTTTTCCGTATCAGTGAGATGTAAAACGTCGAGATTTGTAAAAATCTCGATTTTTTTTTTGCACGATTACAAGACTTTCTCTATACTTCGTATATACGAGAAAGTAAAAATCTGTCAAGATTTTAAAAATGTCATGTTTTAACTGTAAAAAATCTGTCAAGATTTTAAAAAGGTCATGTTTGAACTGTTAAAAATCTGTCAAGATTTTAAAAAGGTCATGTTTAAACTGTTAAAAATCTGTCAAGATTTTAAAAAGGTCAGGTTTTAACTGTAAAAAATCTGTCAGGATTTTAAAAAGGTCAGGTTTTAACTGTAAAAAATCTGTCAGGATTTTAAAAAGGTCAGGTTTTAACTGTAAAAAATCTGTCAGGATTGTTCGCGGTGGAAACAATTTATGTGATGGGGAGATTAACAAGGACAACATAGACTGTGTGATGAAGAAAGTTTTGACCTTGAACTTCGGACATAAAAAACAGGTGGGTGGTGCGTTGTGTCACCTTGTGAATATTCTGGTACAAGCTGTTACCTCCTGCACTTGATGTTAGCAGAGGGAAAGGGTAAAGTTTGTGGCCTATAGTTCTAATGGAGGCCAACTTACAACTGCTCTTATAATTCTAATGGTGGCCAACTAACAACTGTTCTTATAATTCTAATGGTGGCCAACTTACAACTACTCTTATAATTCTAATGGAGGCCAACTTACAACTGCTCTTATAATTCTAATGGTGGCCAACTTACAACTACTCTTATAATTCTAATGGAGGCCAACTAACAACTGTTCTTATAATTCTAATTGCTGCCAACTTACATCTACTCTTATAATTCTAATGGAGGCCAACTAACAACTGCTCTTATAATTCTAATTGCTGCCAACTTACAACTGCTCTTATAATTCTAATGGAGGCCAACTTACATCTACTCTTATAATTCTAATGGAGGCCAACTAACAACTGCTCTTATAATTCTAATTGCTGCCAACTTACAACTGCTCTTATAATTCTAATTGCTGCCAACTTACAATTGCTCTTATAATTCTAATTGCTGCCAACTTACAACTGCTCTTAAAATTCTAATGGAGGCCAACTTACAACTGCTCTTATAATTCTAATTGCTGCCAACTTACAACTGCTCTTATAATTCTAATTGCTGCCAACTTACACCTGCTCTTAAAATTCTAATGGAGGCCAACTTACAACTGCTCTTATAATTCTAATTGCTGCCAACTTACAACTGCTCTTATAATTCTAATTGCTGCCAACTTACAACTGCTCTTATAATTCTAATTGCTGCCAACTTACAACTGCTCTTATAATTCTAATTGCTGCCAACTTACAACTGCTCTTATAATTCTAATTGCTGCCAACTTACACCTGCTCTTAAAATTCTAATGGAGGCCAACTTACAACTGCTCTTATAATTCTAATTGCTGCCAACTTACACCTGCTCTTAAAATTCTAATGGAGGCCAACTTACAACTGCTCTTATAATTCTAATTGCTGCCAACTTACAACTGCTCTTATAATTCTAATTGCTGCCAACTTACAACTGCTCTTATAATTCTAATTGCTGCCAACTTACAACTGCTCTTATAATTCTAATTGCTGCCAACTTACAACTGCTCTTATAATTCTAATTGCTGCCAACTTACACCTGCTCTTAAAATTCTAATGGAGGCCAACTTACAACTGCTCTTATAATTCTAATTGCTGCCAACTTACAACTGCTCTTATAATTCTAATTGCTGCCAACTTACAACTGCTCTTATAATTCTAATTGCTGCCAACTTACAACTGCTCTGGTCTAAACTTCCAGGAACTGATTGAAAAGGGTAAACCAGAGACAATGACACGTCATCTGTATGCCAACACCTTTGGTCCAACACTTGGTGATAAGGTCAGCTCATTGTGTGTGTGTGTCTGTGTGTGTGTGTGTGTTGGTCCAACACTTGGTGATAAGGTCAGCTCATTGTCTGTGTGTGTCTGTGTGTGTCTGTGTGTGTGTGTCTGTGTGTGTGTCTGTGTGTGTGTGTCTGTGTGTTGGTCCAACACTTGGTGATAAGGTCAGCTCATTGTGTGTGTGTCTGTGTGTGTGTGTGTGTCTGTGTGTGTGTGTCTGTGTGTGTGTCTGTGTGTGTGTGTCTGTGTGTTGGTCCAACACTTGGTGATAAGTTCAGCTCATTGTGTGTGTGTCTGTGTGTGTGTGTCTGTGTGTGTGTGTCTGTGTGTGTGTGTCTGTGTGTGTGTCTGTGTGTGTGTGTCTGTGTGTTGGTCCAACACTTGGTGATAAGGTCAGCTCATTGTGTGTGTGTCTGTGTGTGTGTGTCTGTGTTTTGGTCCAAAATTTGTTAAGGTGAGCTCGTTGTGTGTGTGTGTGTGTGTTGGTCCAACACTTGGTGATAAGGTGAGCTCATTGTGTGTGTGTCTGTGTGTGTGTGACTAGCTGATCTTAGTGTGTGTGTGTGTGTGTTGGTCCAACACTTGGTGATAAGGTGAGCTCATTGTGTGTGTGTCTGTGTGTGTGTGACTAGCTGATCTTAGTGTGTTGTGTCTGTGTGTGTGTGACTAGCTGATCTTAGTGTGTTGTGTGTGTGTGACTAGCAGATCTTAGTGTGTTGTGTGTGTGACTAGCTGACCTAAGTGTGTGTGTTGCAGGTACGGCTAGGTGACACAAGTGTGTTGTGTGTGTGTTGCAGGTACGGCTAGGTGACACAAGAGTGTTGTGTGTGTGTTGCAGGTACGGCTAGGTGACACGTGTGTGTTGTGTGTGTGTTGCAGGTACGACTAGGTGACACAAGTCTTCTGGTCGAAGTGGAGAAGGATTTTACAGTCTATGGGGACGAATGCAAATTTGGTGGTGGCAAGGTAAATTTTAGTTTTGGTGGTGGCGAGGTAAAGTTTAGTTTTGGTGGTGGCGAGGTAAAGTTTAGTTTTGGTGGTGGCAAGGTAAAGTTTGATGGTGGCGAGGTAAAGTTTAGTTTTGGTGGTGGCAAGGTAAAGTTTAGTTTTGGTGGTGGCGAGGTAAAGTTTAGTTTTGGTGGTGGCGAGGTAAAGTTTAGTTTTGGTGGTGGTAAGGTGAAGTTTGGTGGTGGCGAGGTAAAGTTTAGTTTTGGTGGTGGTAAGGTGAAGTTTGGTGGTGGCGAGGTAAAGTTTAGTTTTGGTGGTGGTAAGGTGAAGTTTGGTGGTGGCAAGGTAAAGTTTAGTTTTGGTGGTGGCAAGGTAAAGTTTAGTTTTGGTGGTGGCGAGGTAAAGTTTAGTTTTGGTGGTGGCGAGGTAAAGTTTAGTTTTGGTGGTGGCGAGGTAAAGTTTAGTTTTGGTGGTGGTAAGGTGAAGTTTGGTGGTGGCAAGGTAAAGTTTAGTTTTGGTGGTGGCAAGGTAAAGTTTAGTTTTGGTGGTGGCAAGGTAAAGTTTAGTTTTGGTGGTGGCGAGGTAAAGTTTAGTTTTGGTGGTGGCGAGGTAAAGTTTAGTTTTGGTGGTGGCGAGGTAAAATTTGGTTTTGGTGGTGGCGAGGTAAAGTTTAGTTTTGGTGGTGGCAAGGTAAAGTTTGGTGGTGGCAAGGTAAAGTTTGGTGGTGGCGAGGTAAAGTTTGGTGGTGGTGGTGGTGAGGTTAAGTCCCTCTCATCACTGCCAGAGTCACGTGACCTGCTCGTCCACTAATTTTCTGCCTGCAGGTGCTGAGAGATGGAATGGGTCAGGCATCAAGACTGGCCAGTGGTCAAGCTCTGGACACTGTCATCACTAATGTTTTAATCATTGATGCTGTCACTGGAATTGTCAAAGCTGATGTTGGCATCAAGGTATTTAAAAGGGTTGGGATACGGTGGGGGAGGAGGTGGGGTGGTGTGGGGGAGGGGGTGGGGTGATGTGTGGGAGGGGGTGGGGTGGTGTGGGGGAGGAGGTGGGGTGGTGTGGGGGATGAGGTGGGGTGGTGTGGGGGACGAGGTGGGGTGGTGTGGGGGAGGAGGTGGGGTGGTGTGGGGGAGGAGGTGGGGTGGTGTGGGGGAGGAGGTGGGGTGGTGTGGGGGTAGAGGATGTGAGAACACCACTGATCAGGTTTAGAGTTGTATTTACCATGTTAGAAGAAAGTTTGTCTTCAAAATAAAACTTGGTCTTTGTGGATGAAAACAGTTTGACCCCAGGACATTTGACCCCCAGGACACGTTTGACCCCAGGACACGTTTGACCCCAGGACATTTGACCCCAGGACACGTTTGACCCCAGGACACGTTTGACCCCAGGACACGTTTGACCCCAGGACATTTGACCCCCAGGACACGTTTGACCCCAGGACACGTTTGACCCCAGGACACGTTTGACCCCAGGACACGTTTGACCCCAGGACACATTTGACCCCCCAGGACACGTTTGACCCCAGGACGTTTGACCCCAGGACACGTTTGACCCCAGGACACGCTTGACCCCAGGACACGCTTGACCCCAGGACATTTGACCCCCAGGACACGTTTGACCCCAGGACACGTTTGACCCCAGGACACGTTTGACCCCCCAGGACACGGTTGACCCCAGGACATTTGACCCCCAGGACACGTTTGACCCCAGGACACGTTTGACCCCAGGACACGTTTGACCCCAGGACACGTTTGACCCCAGGACACATTTGACCCCCCAGGACACGGTTGACCCCCCAGGACACGTTTGACCCCAGGACACGTTTGACCCCAGGACACGTTTGACCCCAGGACACGTTTGACCCCAGGACACGTTTGACCCCAGGACACGTTTGACCCCAGGACACGTTTGACCCCAGGACACATTTGACCCCCCAGGACACGGTTGACCCCCCAGGACACGTTTGACCCCCCAGGACACGGTTGACCCCAGGACGGTTGACCCCAGGACATTTGACCCCCAGGACACGTTTGACCCCAGGACACGTTTGACCCCAGGACACGTTTGACCCCAGGACACATTTGACCCCCCAGGACACGGTTGACCCCCCAGGACACGTTTGACCCCAGGACACGTTTGACCCCAGGACACATTTGACCCCCCAGGACACGGTTGACCCCCCAGGACACGTTTGACCCCCCAGGACACGGTTGACCCCATCAACATTTACAATTTTTACTTTACTAGAATGGTCGAATAGCTGGCATTGGCAAGGCTGGGAACCCTGACGTCATGGAGGGAGTGGATAAGGTAAGTGACGTCATGGGGGAGTGGATAAGGTAAGTGACGTCATGGGGAGTGGATAAGGTAAGTGACGTCATGAGGGAGTGGATAAGGTAAGTGACGTCATGAGGGAGTGGATAAGGTAAGTGACGTCATGAGGGAGTGGATAAGGTAAGTGACGTCATGAGGGAGTGGATAAGGTAAGTGACGTCATGGAGGGAGTGGATAAGGTAAGTGACGTCATGAGGGAGTGGATAAGGTAAGTGACGTCATGAGGGAGTGGATAAGGTAAGTGACGTCATGAGGGAGTGGATAAGGTAAGTGACATCATGAGGGAGTGGATAAGGTAAGTGATGTCATGGAGGGAGTGGATAAGGCAAGTGACGTCATGGGGGAGTGGATAAGGTGACGTCATGGAGGGAGTGGATAAGGTAAGTGACGTCATGAGGGAGTGGATAAAGTAAGTGATGTCATGGAGGGAGTGGATAAGGAGAGATCACATCAATGAATGTCTTTTGATAATAAACTACTGTTAATTAAATAAGAGATAACCTGTGCTATTAAATAAGAGTTCAGATACCTTTTCTCCATTGAAATCCACCAAAAGAAGTCACCCTCTGACTCCCACCCCCCTCCCCAGGCAATTACCCTCTGTCAATTACCACCTCTCAATTACCCACTGGGCGATTACCTCCCCTCCCCCTAGCTAAAGATTCCTGACTCCAACTTTAGACATATATATTACCTCAAGCCTAACCTTAAGAAAAAGCCTAAACCTAAACTCAACCCCAACTCTAAACATTAGTTTAATCCTAACCCTGATATTAACACTAACTCAAACCTTAAACCTGACCCTAACCAGAGCCCTAGCACTAACCCTAACTGTCCCATTAGCTATGAGTGGGGAGGGGGGGTAATGTACTACTAGTGGGGGGGGGAGGGTAACCTTTTGGTCAATTAATAAAACACAACACATAATCTCAATAGCTACTTACACTACAACTTAGTTCTTAGGATTTAATTGCACACAAAGTAAGTGGATGACGTGAATAAAGTTCATGAAGTTAAGACTAAAGTAAGTGAATGACGAGAATAAAGTTCATGATGTTCAGACTAAAGTAAGTGGATGACGTGAATAAAGTTCATGAAGTTAAGACTAAAGTAAGTGAATGACGAGAATAAAGTTCATGATGTTCAGACTAAAGTAAGTGGATGACGTTAATAAAGTTCATGAAGTTAAGACTAAAGTAAGTGAATGACGTGAATAAAGTTCATGAAGTTAAGACTAAAGTAAGTGAATGCCGTGAACATGACTGTTTCAGAACCTGGTTGTTGGGACTGGCACAGAGGCCATCGCAGGTGAGGGTCTGATCCTGACAGCTGGTGCCCTGGACACCCACGTCCACTTCATCTGCCCCCAGATCATCAAGGAGGCCATCGCTTCTGGCACCACTACCTTGATTGGTGGGGGCACCGGCCCCGCTACTGGCACTAACGCCACTACCTGCTCGCCTGGGGCCAATCATATTAAGTAGGTCCAAATTTTAAAGCTGTTAAGTAGGTCACTTGTATTTCAAAAGTCAGTAGGCTCAATTATCTGGCAAAACCTGTTTTGAAATGATGGTAAACAGCTTCTTCCTGGAATCTCTTTGGGGGTCTCCCTGAAAAATGTCTCCCCCCCCCTCTGAACAAAGAATAGAATTAATATAGAAGAGAAATACTTTGACCAGTGTCCGCCCCTTGGCTCAGTCAAGTCATGTAAAGTTTTAGAAAGGTTCACTGAAATGTGCCAAAGCCATCAAACTAACCTGTTTCATGAGTCAACTGCTCACCACTTAATTACATACGCATGCTCTAAAATATTTGACCTTCAGACACATGGCTTAAAATATTTGACCTTCAGACACATGGCTTAAAATATTTGACCTTCAGACACATGGTCTAAAATATTTGACCTTCAGACACATGGTCTAAAATATTTGACCTTCAGACAAATGGCTTAAAATTTTGACCTTCAGACACATGGCTTAAAATATTTGACCTTCAGACAAATGGTCTAAAATAGTTGACCTTCAGACACATGGTCTAAAATATTTGACCTTCAGACACATGGTCTAAAATATTTGACCTTCAGACAAATGGCTTAAAATTTTGACCTTCAGACACATGGCTTAAAATATTTGACCTTCAGACAAATGGTCTAAAATAGTTGACCTTCAGACACATGGTCTAAAATATTTGACCTTCAGACACATGGCTTAAAATATTTGACCTTCAGACACATGATGCAAGCAACTGATGAGTTTCCCCTCAACTTTGGCTTCACTGGGAAGGGAAATACTTCCGACACAGAGAAAGTTCCAGATGAATTGTGGGAACAAATTGAAGCTGGAGCTATGGGGTAAGGGGTGGGGAGGGGTTTGATTTCTAAACCATGTACCTGCATAAAATCTGATGTGAATTTAGGAATTTTAGTTTCCTTAAATTTTCAATTTTGGTTTAAATTTCCAGTTTTTATTTTCTTCTTTAAATTTCCAGTTTTTATTTTCTTCTTTAAATTTCCAGTTTTTATTTTCTTCTTTAAATTTCCAGTTTTTATTTTCTTCTTTAAATTTCCAGTTTTTATTTTCTTCTTTAAATTTCCAGTTTTTATTTTCTTCTTTAAATTTCCAGTTTTTATTTTCTTCTTTAAATTTCCAGTTTTTATTTTCTTCTTTAAATTTCCAGTTTTTATTTTCTTCTTTAAATTTCCAGTTTTTATTTTCTTCTTTAAATTTCCAGTTTTTATTTTCTTCTTTAAATTTCCAGTTTTTATTTTCTTCTTTAAATTTCCAGTTTTTATTTTCTTCTTTAAATTTCCAGTTTTTATTTTCTTCTTTAAATTTCCAGTTTTTATTTTCTCTAGGCTAAAACTCCATGAGGACTGGGGCAGCACACCTGCGGCTATTGATGCATGTCTAAATGCAGCAGAGAAGGCAGACATACAGGTAAGAGAAGGCAGACATGCAAATTTTACCTCACAAAATGTCTGAATCTCCCATTGTGCAGGTGATGATACAGATACTAAAATTGTGCAGGTGATGATACATACAGATACTAAAATTGTGCAGGTGATGATACAGATACTAAAATTGTGCAGGTGATGATACAGATACTAAAATTGTGCAGGTGATGATACATACAGATACTAAAATTGTGCAGGTGATGATACATACAGATACTAAAATTGTGCAGGTGATGATACATACAGATACTAAAATTGTGCAGGTGATGATACATACAGATACTAAAATTGTGCAGGTGATGATACAGATACTAAAATTGTGCAGGTGATGATACAGATACTAAAATTGTGCAGGTGATGATACATACAGATACTAAAATTGTGCAGGTGATGATACAGATACTAAAATTGTGCAAGTGATGATACATACAGATACTAAAATTGTGCAGGTGATGATACAGATACTAAAATTGTGCAGGTGATGATACATACAGATACTAAAATTGTGCAGGTGATGATACATACAGATACTAAAATTGTGCAGGTGATGATACAGATACTAAAATTGTGCAGGTGATGATACATACAGATACTAAAATTGTGCAGGTGATGATACAGATACTAAAATTGTGCAGGTGATGATACATACAGATACTAAAATTGTGCAGGTGATGATACATACAGATACTAAAATTGTGCAGGTGATGATACATACAGATACTAAAATTGTGCAGGTGATGATACATACAGATACTAAAATTGTGCAGGTGATGATACAGATACTAAAATTGTGCAGGTGATGATACAGATACTAAAATTGTGCAGGTGATAATACATACAGATACTAAAATTGTGCAGGTGATGATACATACAGATACTAAAATTGTGCAGGTGATGATACATACAGATACTAAAATTGTGCAGGTGATGATACAGATACTAAAATTGTGCAGGTGATGATACATACAGATACTAAAATTATGCAGGTGATGATACATACAGATACTAAAATTGTGCAGGTGATGATACAGATACTAAAATTGTGCAGGTGATGATACAGATACTAAAATTGTGCAGGTGATGATACAGATACTAAAATTGTGCAGGTGATGATACAGATACTAAAATTGTGCAGGTGATGATACATACAGATACTCTAAATGAATCTTCTTGTGTGGAGCACACAATTGAAACCTTCAAGGGGAGAGCAATCCACACCTACCACACAGAAGGCGCTGGTGGTGGCCACGCCCCTGATATCATCAGGTAGATCAACTTTTCCATCGTATGGGCTTAAGAACATGGGTTCAACATTTTTATTCATTGAAATTGTTCCTTGTTTTTGTTCAATGAAATTGTTCCATGTTTTTATCCAATGTAATTGTTCCATGTATTTATTCAATGAAATTGTTCCATGTTTTTAACTGAATCTTGAAACAGAGTGTGCGGTATCAATCAAGTGCTGCCTTCATCCACCAACCCCACCCGCCCCTACACTGTCAACACATTGGACGAGCATCTGGACATGCTCATGGTGTGTCATCATCTGGACAAGTGAGTTCAAAGGTCAACCCTAGTTGGGTTCAGAGGTCAAGTCTAGTGAGGGCAAGCTAAACCTACTTTAATAATCTCTAACATCCAAATCCACTAAAAACAAACTTTTTATCTCTAGACAAAAAAATAAAAGCCTAGGTTGCTCAAATATTTGAGATTTTATTAGTGTTCAACCCTTTTATAATAGCTGAAGGAAGAAGTTTTTGATACTTACATTTTTTTTGTTTTATTTTCTACTTTTTAGTTTAAATAAATTGTAAGCGTAATATATTAGGTCAACATTTCTGTTTTAAAACAACTAGAATCTGATTTATTCTTACCATTTCAACTGTACTTAAATAAGTTAAGCAATGATTGTCTTGTGATGTGTTTTTCTGTGAACACCTTATCGATCATCTGATTGTTACTGTTTTGTTATCTCCCCTTTTGTTAATGAATAATAATAGTCATCTTTAAATTGATGAAAATCACTAACATTCCATCTAGATTGTAAATGATTTATTCATTTATTAGTCTATTAATAGAAATGGGTCAAAGATTTGATCTTAAACCCAATGACAAACATTGTAACAAAATAAAAGCTTCTAAAGTAGTTACAATTTTAGTAACAATATTTGGTAAAGTTGTGACAATATTTGGTAAAGTTGTGACAATATTTGGTAAAGTTGTGACAATATCTTTTAACTTGAATTCAATTAACTCCGCCCCCTACAGAAATTTAAAAGAAGACGTGGCATTTGCGGAGTCCAGAATCCGTGCGGAGACCATAGCAGCAGAAGACATTTTACATGACCTTGGTGCCATTAGCATAATGGGGTCGGACTCGCAGGTTTGGATTTGATTGGTTACATTTTACAAGCACTTGATTGGTTACATTTTACAAGCACTTGATTGGTTACATTTTACAAGCACTTGATTGGTTACATTTTACAAGCACTTGATTGGTTACATTTTACAAGCACTTGATTGGTTACATTTTACAAGCACTTGATTGGTTACTGCCTACATTTTACAAGCACTTGATTGGTTACTGCCTACATTTTACAAGCACATGATTGGTTACTGCCTACATTTTACAAGCACATGATTGGTTACTGCCTACATTTTACAAGCACTTGATTGGTTACTGCCTACATTTTACAAGCACTTGATTGGTTACGGCCTACATTTTACAAGCACTTGATTGGCTACGGCCTACATTTTACAAGCACTTGATTGGTTACTGCCTACATTTTACAAGCACTTGATTGGTTACTGCCTACATTTTACAAGCACTTGATTGGTTACTGCCTACATTTTACAAGCACTTGATTGGTTACTGCCTACATTTTACAAGCACTTGATTGGCTACTGCCTACATTTTACAAGCACTTGATTGGCTACTGCCTACATTTTACAAGCACTTGATTGGTTACTGCCTACATTTTACAAGCACTTGATTGGTTACTGCCTACATTTTACAAGCACTTGATTGGTTACTGCCTACATTTTACAAGCACTTGATTGGCTACTGCCTACATTTTACAAGCACTTGATTGGTTACTGCCTACATTTTACAAGCACTTGATTGGTTACTGCCTACATTTTACAAGCACTTGATTGGTTACTGCCTACATTTTACAAGCACTTGATTGGCTACTGCCTACATTTTACAAGCAATTGATTGGTTACTGCCTACATTTTACAAGCACTTGATTGGTTACTGCCTACATTTTACAAGCACTTGATTGGTTACTGCCTACATTTTACAAGCACATGATTGGTTACTGCCTACATTTTACAAGCACTTGATTGGTTACTGCCTACATTTTACAAGCACTTGATTGGTTACGGCCTACATTTTACAAGCACTTGATTGGTTACGGCCTACATTTTACAAGCACTTGATTGGTTACGGCCTACATTTTACAAGCACTTGATTGGTTACTGCCTACATTTCATTTTACAAGCACTTGATTGGCTACTGCCTACATTTTACAAGCACTTGATTGGTTACTGCCTACATTTTACAAGCACTTGATTGGCTACTGCCTACATTTTACAAGCACTTGATTGGCTACTGCCTACATTTTACAAGCACTTGATTGGTTACTGCCTACATTTTACAAGCACTTGATTGGTTACTGCCTACATTTCATTTTACAAGCACTTGATTGGCTACTGCCTACATTTCATTTTACAAGCACTTGATTGGCTACTGCCTACATTTTACAAGCACTTGATTGGTTACTGCCTACATTTTACAAGCACTTGATTGGCTACTGCCTACATTTTACAAGCACTTGATTGGCTACTGCCTACATTTTACAAGCACTTGATTGGTTACTGCCTACATTTTACACGCACTTGATTGGTTACTGCCTACATTTCATTTTACAAGCACTTGATTGGCTACTGCCTACATTTTACAAGCACTTGATTGGTTACTGCCTACATTTTACAAGCACTTGATTGGCTACTGCCTACATTTTACAAGCACTTGATTGGCTACTGCCTACATTTTACAAGCACTTGATTGGTTACTGCCTACATTTTACAAGCACTTGATTGGTTACTGCCTACATTTTACAAGCACTTGATTGGTTACTGCCTACATTTTACAAGCACTTGATTGGTTACTGCCTACATTTTACAAGCACTTGATTGGTTACGGCCTACATTTTACAAGCACTTGATTGGTTACTGCCTACATTTTACAAGCACTTGATTGGTTACTGCCTACATTTTACAAGCACTTGATTGGTTACTGCCTACATTTTACAAGCACTTGATTGGTTACTGCCTACATTTTACAAGCACTTGATTGGTTACTGCCTACATTTTACAAGCACTTGATTGGTTACTGCCTACATTTTACAAGCACTTGATTGGTTACTGCCTACATTTTACAAGCACTTGATTGGTTACTGCCTACATTTTACAAGCAATTGATTGGTTACTGCCTACATTTTACAAGCACTTGATTGGTTACTGCCTACATTTTACAAGCACTTGATTGGTTACTGCTGTGTTTACAGAAAGATAGACCTATTTTATTATTTTTTATACAGGCAATGGGCCGTGTAGGGGAGGTAATAACAAGAACTTGGCAGACGGCTGACAAAATGAAGTTATTCAGGGGCAAACTAACAAGTGAAAAGGTGCACTTGTCTTTCACTTTTAGGATCTAGTTTTCATCCAGTTTTTTTTTTTAATTTATTTCAAAAGTCTAAAATACAAAACTGTTATTTAAAAACTCTAACAAATATTTTTTAAAATTTCTTTCTAGGGAGACAATGACAACATGAGAGTGAAAAGATTTATTGCTAAATATACAATTAACCCAGCCATTGCGCATGGAGTCTCAGAGCTAGTAGGATCAGTTTCTGTAAGTCTTCATTCTAGCAAAAAACACAGTAAGTCACCATCCTAGCACAAAACACAGTAAGTCTTTATCCTAACACAAAACACTGTAAGTCTTTATCCTAACACAAAACACTGTAAGTCACCATTCTAGCACAAAACACTGTAAGTCTTTATCCTAGCACAAAACACGGTAAGTCTTTATCCTAGCACAAAACACTGTAAGTCTTTATCCTAGGACAAAACACAGTAAGTCTTCATTCTAGCACACAAAAAAAAACAAATACAACAAAGCAGACTGTATGGCACTAGCTTGGATGTAAGACTGATAAAATATTTTTAACTGCTCATCTGACATAGATCAAATATTTTTAACTGCTCATCTGACAAAGATCAAATATTTTCAACTGCTCATCTGACAAAGATCAAATATTTTCAACTGTTCATCTGACAAAGATCAAATATTTTCAACTGCTCATCTGACAAAGATCAAATATTTTCAACTGCTCATCTGACAAAGATCAAATATTTTCAACTGCTCATCTGACAAAGATCAAATATTTTTAACTGCTCATCTGACAAAGATCAAATATTTTCAACTGCTCCTCTGACAAAGATCAAATATTTTCAACTGCTCATCTGACAAAGATCAAATATTTTCAACTGCTCATCTGACAAAGATCAAATATTTTCAACTGCTCATCTGACAAAGATCAAATATTTTCAACTGCTCATCTGACAAAGATCAAATATTTTTAACTGCTCATCTGACCAAGATCAAATATTTTCAACTGCTCATCTGACAAAGATCAAATATTTTTAACTGCTCATCTGACAAAGATCAAATATTTTTAACTGCTCATCTGACAAAGATCAAATATTTTCAACTGCTCATCTGACAAAGATCAAATATTTTTAACTGCTCATCTGACAAAGATCAAATATTTTCAACTGCTCATCTGACAAAGATCAAATATTTTCAACTGCTCATCTGACAAAGATCAAATATTTTCAACTGCTGATCTGACAAAGATCAAATATTTTTAACTGCTCATCTGACAAAGATCAAATATTTTCAACTGCTCATCTGACAAAGATCAAATATTTTCAACTGCTCATCTGACAATGATCAAATATTTTTAACTGCTCATCTGACAAAGATCAAATATTTTCAGGAAGACAAACTGGCAGATTTAGTCCTCTGGAATCCTGCATATTTTGGTGCCAAGCCTGACCTCATTTTAAAAGGAGGTCAAATAGCCTGGGCTCAGATGGGTAATCAATGTCTTAATTAAGTTCTCTTAATTAAGTTCTCTTAATGATATGTCTTAATTAGGTTCTCTTAATGATATGTCTTAATTAACTTCTCTTAATGATATGTCTTAATTAAGTTCTCTTGATGATATGTCTTAATTAAGTTCTCTTAATTTTTAATGATATGTCTTTATTAAGTTCTCTTAATGAAGTTCTCTTAATGATATGTCTTAATTAAGTTCTCTTAATGATATGTCTTAATTAAGTTCTCTTAATGATATGTCTTAATTAAGTTCTCTTGATGATATGTCTTAATTAAGTTCTCTTAATTTTTAATGATATGTCTTTATTAAGTTCTCTTAATGATATGATAATAAAGTGGTTAATTACTTTATAACTATGGAAACACCTCAACTCCACAACTCCTAAAGGAGGGGGGGTAGGGGGGGGGGGGGGTAGGAGGACAACATTTCATGTTCCAACAGATGACCAGAGTGTTGTCCACATGTTGTACTGATCCAACTGTAAGGTTGTTGTACTGATCCAACTGTCAGGTTGTTGTACTGATCCAACTGTCAGGTTGTTGTACTGATCCAACTGTCAGGTTGTTGTACTGATCCAACTGTCAGGTTGTTGTACTGATCCAACTGTCAGGTTGTTGTACTGATCCAACTGTCAGGTTGTTGTACTGATCCAACTGTCAGGTTGTTGTACTGATCCAACTGTCAGGTTGTTGTACTGATCCAACTGTCAGGTTGTTGTACTGATCCAACTGTCAGGTTGTTGTACTGATCCAACTGTCAGGTTGTTGTACTGATCCAACTGTCAGGTTGTTGTACTGATCCAACTGTACTGTTCTATGACCCCTGATATTGACTGGTAGGTCTCTATGACCCCTGATATTGACTGGTAGGTCTCTATGACCCCTGATATTGACTGGTAGTTCTATGACCCCTGCTATTGACTGGTAGGTCTATGACCCCTGATATTGACTGGTAGGTCTATGACCCCTGCTATATGACCCCTTCTATTGACAGGTCTGGCCAACGCCTCCATCCCCACCCCTGAGCCCGTCAGACAAAGAAAAATGTTCGGAGCTTACGGCAAGGCTGTTGGACCTCAGTCGTACGTTTTTGTCAACAAGGTCAGGTCAATGTTTAACTTTTGTGACAAGGTCAAGTTTAATATCAATCATTTTCCTAACTTGACTGTTTGCATAAAAATGCTGGGTTTGCTGTCATGTTACTTTTTTCCACCAATTTCCCAAAGATTAGAATAGTTTTAACACTTGTACACAAACCAACATTTCAATATTTTCATTCACTCTTCTTTAAGTTTAACCCAAAAATTATTTTTAAAAAACTAGGTGGCCATTGAGGGTGGAAAACTTGAGAATTATGGGATATCCAAACAGTTTTATCCTGTATCCAACTGTAGGAACATTGGCAAGTCAGACATGATATTCAATGACTTTTGTCCAAACCTGGAAGGTAAAAATCTGGCATGTTTACTTTCATGCAATCAATTAATTGTATCAAATTGACCATTTTAAATGTTACCAAAATCAATTTAATGTTTTAAAAATTGATCCTCCTTTGTATTTCATTCAGTGGACCCGCAGAGTTACTCTGTCAAAGTTTCAAACGGCAAGAAGATGACGGAACTTCTTACCTGTCCCCCTGCTGACAGGCTGTCTCTGGCACAGAGATACTTCCTGTTTTAAGACAGCTGAGACAGAGACTTCCTGTTTTAAGACAGCTGAGACAGAGACTTCCTGTTTTAAGACAGCTGAGACTGAGACTTCCTGTTTTAAGACAGCTGAGACAGAGACTTCCTGTTTTAAGACAGCTGAGACTGAGACTTCCTGTTTTAAGACAGCTGAGACAGAGACTTCCTGTTTTAAGACAGCTGAGACAGAGACTTCCTGTTTTAAGACAGCTGAGACAGAGACTTCCTGTTTTAAGACAGCTGAGACTGAGACTTCCTGTTTTAAGACAGCTGAGACAGAGACTTCCTGTTTTAAGACAGCTGAGACAGAGACTTCCTGTTTTAAGACAGCTGAGACAGAGACTTCCTGTTTTAAGACAGCTGAGACAGAGACTTCCTGTTTTAAGACAGCTGAGACAGAGACTTCCTGTTTTAAGACAGCTGAGACAGAGACTTCCTGTTTTAAGACAGCTGAGACAGAGACTTCCTGTTTTAAGACAGCTGAGACAGAGATACTTCCTGTTTTAAGACAGCTGAGACAGAGACTTCCTGTTTTAAGACAGCTGAGACAGAGATACTTCCTGTTTTAAGACAGCTGAGACAGAGACTTCCTGTTTTAAGACAGCTGAGACAGAGACTTCCTGTTTTAAGACAGCTGAGACAGAGATACTTCCTGTTTTAAGACAGCTGAGACAGAGACTTCCTGTTTTAAGACAGCTGAGACAGAGACTTCCTGTTTTAAGACAGCTGAGACAGAGACAGCTATACATTATTGCCTGTTTTAAGATAGCTCAAACTTTGAATAAATGATCAAGATTGTTCTCTCAATCATATTCTGATGTAGATTGAACATCTCCTGCATGCAGTGTTAAACAAATATACACCATTGTAAATACTAAGCATGCATTTGAGAGAGAAATTATTTAAATGGTTAATTAATTTTTTTTAAAGTAAAACCTTTGAAATATAATTCTTTACCTAGAAATCTAGGAGGTATCGCCAATTTCTAAAAATAAAAATTAACTTTTGCAATTTGACAACTTGTGTTTCATTAGGCCTAAACACCTGATTAAATAGGTTGGACATCCACACTATAAGCAATAGATTGGACATCCACACTATAAGCAATAGATTGGACATCCACACTATAAGCAATAGATTGGACATCCACATCAATAGATTGGACATCCACACTATAAGCAATAGATTGGACATCCTTTGGGTTGACCATAAATACACACACAATGTTGTTAACTTAGGGAATTGACCAGAGGCATAAATAGGTTTTTGGGCTAGGGGGAGCGGAGAGTTGAGAAAAAACACCATATATATGTAATTTATATATATTAAAACACCATATATATGTAATTTATATATATTAAAACACCATATATATGTAATTTATATATATTAAAACACCATATATATGTAATTTATATATATTAAAACACCATATATATGTAATTTATATATATTAAAACACCATATATATGTAATTTATATATATTATTTACTAGCTGTGTGTCATTGCTTTGCTACGGTGAAAAATACATTGAAACATTCTGCAGTAAACAAAACACAGACAACACGTAAAATACATTGAAACATTCTGCAGAAAACAAAACAGACAACACAATTCTACACAATTTTCAAATAGGTGAGAAAATTAAACCATCTGATATTTGATTATGCCACTTGCAAAACCTGCTAAGTTCACGTTTTGAAAAAAAAAATAAGGTGCTGTTTTTATAGAGGTAATTTAAGTAGAATATTACTTTTGTTAAAAAAAGGTAGACACTATACATTAAAGATTTCAGCCTTCATATCATATAAATGATCAGACATCAAGTGATTTGAATCCCCACTATTACGATCAAACTAACATCTTTTTGTATACATAAGTAAGGGCCGTTTACGAATAACTTTTACCTAAACTGCCAGTGCAGTGCCTGGCCGGCGCCGCTAGTAATACAGTAGTAATACTATAAATTTTAGTAGGCCTAAACGACACGCTGCAGAGCTTCACAGGTTCAAAAAAATTTTTTATGAGAATTCACAATAAAAATGTTACGTCATCTTAATCATGTATGGCAATCCATTTCCGTCATTAGAAACATAATTTTTGTCACAACCCCAATGGACTGGAGAAAGTGAACTAAAAAAAAAATTTTTTGTTATTGGCGGATTTACAATATATCGGGGAATATCCACACATGGCAAGTAAATATCTATGGCAATTCCCGATTAGATTCTATATATAGAACTTAGCCTAAACAAAAACTGATTTTTCTAAGGTTATTTTAATATAGTCAAACTACGTCTTAATTTCTTAGACCTGGTGTTTAAAAATAGCAGCTGTTTATAGATCTACACTGGCAGGTTTATCTTTAAATAGTTTTTATCTTTTACTGTAAGCGAGCAGAATTATTTTAGAATTTGGATTCAAATCTCTTCCAGAGTTTCTTCCAGGCATCTCTTCGGGGGGGGGGGGGATTATATAGTAAACATACTTTTACTAGTGTCCGTCAAGAGGCGGGGGGGGGGGGGGGGGGGGGGACATATGTCCCCGGGCGCCGACCTTAGAGGGTTGGAAAAACAAATTGACAGTTTGAGGGGGGGGGGGGATTGCAAACCGAAAGTTTGTCCCCGGGCGCTGGGAAGGGTCACCACGCCTGTGTTCGTCCCCCGTTTCACACACCCCCCCCCCCCGGAGAAAAAAGTCTGGAAGAAACACTGATCTCTTCTAGAGCACTTTTAAATTTATCCTAAAGCGGAAAATGTTTCAATTGATTAATAAAAATAGTTCTGGTTTCATCCAGCTCGCCCTAGAGTCTTCACACTGTCCCTAGATTTTGTCCACCCTGTCCATAGACCTCCCCCCCCCCCCATACCCATACCCTCTTGTATTGAGCAATGTTCTGAAAATTTCGTTGAGGAGCAGATCTACTAGAGAATCTAGATTACATATTAAGACTTATTTTATCTTGACATCCCATCTGTTTGTCATGTTGATACGTCAAAAAGTGACTTTTTCGGCGGGCAGGTGATCAGTTGTAGCCCTACTACTTAGAGAGGTGGCAATCTTCAGATAAATACTTAATAATAGGCCCACTAGACTAGATCTAATCTAGATCTTACTCGATCCTTTCAAAACTGGTATACCCGATAACAACCAGAGTGGATTTTCCCGATAAAAAAAACAGGTCTATAAAAAGAAACATAGACGTTTAAATTCAAGTATTTCCTAAGTCATTCCTCGGGATAGCGCTATTCATATATTTACAGTCTAGTGATAATCATGTTTGTCGAATTTGTTGTGATTATTCTACTTATGTCGGGAATCAAATCAAGTGAGTAAAAATGTTTTAAACATGTCACGTATATAATAGAATATGAATATGACCTAAACTTTAAACTCAATATGAATAATAAACTATATACTAATAATATAATAGTCCTACTAAGTAAAAGTAAGTAGATCTAGATCTAGTAAGTATACTAGCTACTAGTTAGTATAGTTAATATTAGTTATTAGTAATATTAGTTACTATCACTATTAGTATTACTAGCAGTTTGGGCCTATCCTATAATAATATTATTTAATTATACTAATTAAAACTATAGTATTAAATATGGTATTAATATACTATATTGTATTTTAATTTGTAGCACCACCAACTTTAGAGGATCTTACAGCACTGAAATGCAGAAGCGAGAAACCCTTCCTATGTCTGCCGTACGGCGTCTGCTACAATGCCGACAGTTTTTGTTACCATGGTTCCATCGAGTCTTGTTTCCCTGGCAACATAACAGCCGAGCAGCTAGAGCAGTGGTGCAGGTCCATTGGCCAACACAGGCCGGAGTTGATGAGAGACACTGCACTGTGTAGCCTCGCATGTCAAGCCAGGTTCTCTTCACTGGACTTGTCAAATGGTCAGTCTCTTACTTGTCAATTGTTTTTTATAGGCCTAATTAAATAGTAATTATTAGGCCTACTAATTAGTAATTATATAATAGTTATTATAACTATAGTAATAGTACTATTACTAAGTAGTAAGTAAGTATTATTATACTAAAAAACGGTAAAATCTTAGTTTAGCGTCGTAAATTCGGCCAAAACTAGTAATGTAGGAGAGAGTGCATTAATGAATATGTCATTAAATATGAGTATATTTTCGTATATTTTGATAAAATATTATAAATAATTGAATAATAGATCACCATTTATGGTCAAATCAATTTAAATATCCTGAAATTAATTTTTATCAACCCTGTTCGAGATAGTAAATTTGCTATTAAAAACAGCAGCCATCTTAAGAAAATGTTATTTAGAGTAGCTTCCCTTTCATTTCTATTCGTATGAAAATGTATTTAAATATGATTGTCTTGTTGTATAGTCCGTATTACAAAGCATTTTTTTTTTTAATTCTGCTCTTTAAAAATTGAATTTCCTAACAAACAACTTTATTAATTCTAGAAGCATTGTGAGATGCAACTTGTATCCATGTTTTAAATCACGTTTTTTTACTAATGTTTATTTGATCTTACTATTACTATATAGTTTGAGTTTTTTCTTATTGTTTGAATGTTCACTATTTTCATTTCAGGTTTTTCTTTTTATCAATTAGTGATTCTATCGTAACCTATGACATTTTTTACTTCTCTTTACCTTAATTAAACCCCAACCTCCGTCATATTTTTGTTGTCAATGTCACAACAAGTCATAAGGGGTCATCCATAAATGACGTCACACTCATAGGGGGAGGGGGGAATTTTGTGACGATGTGTGATGAGGGGGAGGGGGGGGGGGGGGTTCAGATGTTGCGACGTCACATTTTTGCATTATAAAAAAGCAATGTTAGAAAACGAATTTTAGACGTTATTTCGCGTTTTAGATAACTGTTTTAATAAATTGTAATAGTTTAGACAAGATTTTGGAAAAATATCGATGTTTAAAAAAAAATTCAACTGCAATTTTGAGGGGGGGGGGGTGTAGGTTGAGGTGTGACGTCATTTTAGCGGGGGTCTGGCTTTTTGTGACGACGTGTGACGGAGGGGAGGGGGGGAGGTAAAAATCGTCAAAAAAGCGTGACGTCATTTATGGATGACCCCTAATGTAAAAAATTACGCTTTCCTCTGCCTTATCTAAGATCTCTAGCCATAATTTTGACAACAATACATGTTTGTCATCATTTATATATACAGAGAGACAAAATGTACTATCCACCAGCTTCCCCCGTAAAACATCATCTAAAATAATCAGCCACTCCACCCCTTAAGTGCGTGTTGTCATTATGGTTGATCGCAAGCAGTGTTTCTTCCAGACTTTTTTCTCCGGGGGGGCACTTGAAATTTTCGGGGGGGGCGGTAAACTTTCTTCGGGGGGGCGGACACTGTTAAAAGTATATATTTTCTATATGAATTATATAAATTTCATTCCGTTCGGGGGGGCGGTAAAATTTTTTCGGGGGGGCTTCGCCCCCCCGAAGAGATGCCTGGAAGAAACTCTGATCGCAAGTCTCCACCTGCCAGACACATTTTGGTTATCCTTTGTTGTCAAAATGTCAATATCAAGTACCCAAGTGAGTGATATGGGGTTGTCCATAAATGATGTCACATATGATTTGCTACGGGAGTCAGTAAAGATTTGTGACGTCAACTCAGGCGGCTCCGCAATTTATGACGTGTCGGTCTCATGAAAGTAGGTGAACGGGGAAAAATACCTAGGTGGTTGATGGAGAACCTCTATAATGCTTTGTTCAATCAAAATAACGAAAAATAAGCATTAGTATACGTATACCTTGCTTAAAACGAATCATCACAAATGTTGCAAGCCTGCTAGTTTAAGACATTTGGCAAAACGGCCTTAACTTAACACATTATCCCCGTCAAAAAGGCTTGCCACCAAATGCCTGCCGACGAATAAGCCGCGTCTAATGCGGGGCGTTAGGAATACGGCCATTAGCATGGGCCGCGTTAGAGCACCAGTAGGCTATCGCGCTTTGTAAGATGACGTAAATACTTAAATTCAATTTCGCTAAACTGCGCGAAAATTTAGTAATGTTCCATCGTTTGAGGAAATTTATTTTCTTGGACTTAAATTGAAATATCATGTTGACTGTATGGCTCTTAATTTCCGAATATCACTTTTAATGAAATCAAGTTTTAGAACTATAATTTACTTTAATATAAGTGTCATTTTATCGTTTATTGTGCTTTTTAAAAAGCTCAGAGCAGCTTCAAAATCGGACGGCCATCCTGTTTTCACCAAGCTTCTTTTGGAGCTTATTATGGGTAGTCTAGTTCTATACGGTGAGAGCTTAATACCTTTTTAAAGGGGCGAATGTCTCAAGACAGCAAGCTTGCAGAAATAACCACGTACGTTTAAATGGACGAGTGATAGGTGTGTTAGGGGCTGTTTAATGAACACCAACTTATGTAATCAAATTAAACGTCGCATAAGCGTCAAAAAGGCAGTGCTTGTTGTTCGGCGGTACCGGTACATGACGTCACGCGCGAGCGTTATCTCGGTGACGTTGTGCTAAGTGTGGGATGAAACGGTTGGGTTCAAGAAATACGACTCAGCATGCTTTGTACATTTCTCGACCCTTCTTAATAGTTCTATCGTCCCCACTGAGAAAATGGATCACCAATGAATGACGCGTCATACTTCTACAGCTGGTCTTTCTCCCACAACCATCCCCTGTTTTCACGAAAAAAAAACCTGACCCGTCTCCAAAATCACATCGCTGAGTTCTACTCAACCTCTCCCCACCACAAATCACAATTTCTATCTGAAACAATATGTTCATATGTTTGTTCTGTAATAATGCACGCTGTCATTACTATCTTAAGAGCGACGTCATTTATGAGCGATCTAATATTGATTTGCTTACTGCAAATAAAGTGTTCAAAAGTTCGACCTCCCAACAATAGTTGTGGTCTTGGATGCACATTATCAAGTCTGATAAGGTCTATTAGTCATTCATGTCAACTATATTAAAAAAAAGAAAAATTACTATACAGGGGGTCATCCATAAATGATGTCACGCTTTTTTTGACGGTTTTTACCTCCCCCCACCTCCCCTCCGTCACACGTCGTCACAAAAAGCCAGACCCCCCCCTAAAATGACGTCACACCTCAACCTACAACCCCCCTCAAAATTGCAGTTGAATTGTTTTTAAACAGCTATATTTTTCCAAAATCTTGTCTGAACTCTGTCAAAATAGAGTATAAAATCAATTGTTATTACAATGTATTAAAACAGTTTTTTAAAACGCAAAATAACGTATAAAATTCGTTTTCTAACATTGCTTTTTTAAAATGCAAAAGTGTGACGTCGCACCATCTGACCCCCCCCTCCCCCTCATCACACAACGTCACAAAATTACGGACCCCCTCCCCCCTACGAGTGTGACGTCATTTATGGACGACCCCCGGCATATATTAAAGCAATACAAACAATCATATAAAACCACAAAATCAACACAAAAGACATGCGAATAGACAATTTATTGTTTTTAAAACATGGCCGCTGCTTGAATTTACTCATTGTTGTCTCGAACGGAGTAGTTTAAAGTTTATTCCAGGATATTTATGACTGGTTTGGTCTTGGATTGTGATTTGTTATTCAATTATCTGTTATATTATGTAAAATATGACATAAATATGGCCAAATGAAAGAAATATTCATTAGTTACCTTCATCGCACATTACTAGCTACGTTGGAATTTACGACGCTAAACTAAGATTTTACCTAAAAAACTAATAATACTATTATTACTATTATCCTAATATATAATAAAAGGCTGGGACTGGGCTCTAGACAGTATGCCTTGTTCATTTTGTTGTTAACTTGTTACCTGTACTGTTGTAACTAGATCAGATTCTAACTACTTGCTATTATTACTATTAAAGTTTTAAAGCTACTATTAATACTAGAGCTTAACTAATATTAAAATTATAAGGCTAGGGGCCTATATTCTTATTATATATTATATACTATATAGCCCTATATTCTACATTGTTTTATTCTAGGATCTATTAAAAAAAAATTATAGATTCAAGAAACCTAAAAAATACTATATACTATACTACATACTACATACATTGTAACAATGATTGTTTAATAAAACAAGCATGTTATTAATTCAAAATATTAATACATTAATTTAGTTTTAACCAATTTGTTTTTAGTTAGACTTAGTTTTCTTTGTGCTGCAGTTATTATCAAAATAAAAATAACCTTTTAATTAAATAATTACAACTAAAATCCCACTTTTATTAAAACTCTAACAGCTGTGGAGAAACTGGTCAGTATAAAATGTCCAGCAGACAAGCCACTAAAGTGTCTCCCTGCCGGCATCTGTCATGGCTTTGACGAGTACTGCCATGCTGGACAAAACAAATCATGTTTTGATGGGGGGATGTCGGAGGGGGAACTGTTGCGGTGGTGTCAGGTCCATGGGCAGGATGACGTCAGTTCACTGCCAGACCCATCCTGCAAGTTTGCCTGTCAGACAAAGTTTGCAACTTTATTTCATCCAGGTCAGTGCCTTTAAAACATTCAGTCATGTGACTAGGTTTTAAATATCTTTTAAAACATTCAGACTGGGTTTAAAATGGGTTATAAAAACTTGTAAAAAGGCAAAATTTTTAACATAAATTGTAAACAATACATTTTTTATTCAAACAGCCACAGACGCGTGGACGAGCAGAAATATTGCCATCGGTATGGGAGTACTTGCACTCGTGTTCTTCGTGTGGGCGTGCACTTGCACTGTGTGGCTGTTGGTAAAACACAGAGAAGTTTTCTGTGTAGGTCAGCCTAAAGAAGAGATAGAGCTTGAAGAAGTTAGGCCACATGGGAGAGATGGTGAGATTAGTATCTACATTTGTTAAATGTCATGTCATTTGAAGATGGTGAGATTACTATCTACATTTGTTAAATGTCATGTCATTTAAAGATGGTGAGATTAGTATCTACATTTGTTAAATGTCATGTCATTTGAAGATGGTGAGATTAGTATCTACATTTGTCAAATGTCATGTCATTTGAAGATGGTGAGATTAGTATCTACTTTTGTTAAATGTCATGTCATTTAAAGATGGTGAGATTAGTATCTACATTTGTTAAATGTCATGTCATTTGAAGATGGTGAGATTAGTATCTACATTTGTTAAATGTCATGTCATTTAGAGATGGTGAGATTACTATCTACATTTGTTAAATGTCATGTCATTTAAAGATGGTGAGATTAGTATCTACATTTGTTAAATGTCATGTCATTTGAAGATGGTGAGATTAGTATCTACATTTGTTAAATGTCATGTCATTTAAAGATGGTGAGATTAGTATCTACATTTGTTAAATGTCATGTCATTTAGAGATGGTGAGATTAGTATCTACATTTGTTAAATGTCATGTCATTTAAAGATGGTGAGATTAGTATCTACATTTGTTAAATGTCATGTCATTTAAAGATGGTGAGATTAGTATCTACATTTGTTAAATGTCATGTCATTTAAAGATGGTGAGATTAGTATCTACATTTGTTAAATGTCATGTCATTTAGAGATGGTGAGATTAGTATCTATATTTTTAAAATGTCATGTCATTTAGAGATGGTGTGAATAGTATCTACGCAGATATATCTTAAAGAATAGGATGATTGAATTTTACAGTCAGTTCAAGTGATGTAGATTTAATACTGAAAAACACAATATTATTAGGTCATTGAAATAATCTAGATTAGTGAAATTTATCTTTAAAAAAACTGTAATTCAGAACACAATGCTTACATTGGTAACAACAATAAAAAATTTGGTTACATTTTTAATTAAAACCCATGCACCAACTTAAAGTATTATTAAAATATTCAACTTATTCCTCTAGAACCGGGCCAACCACCGGCTAATTTAGGAGATCAAGCCAATCTGGCAGCAGCTGATCCTTCCTATGTGCGTCTTGACGCGCTAGCTGAAACACCGTCAACACCACAGGACATCGACATAGGACAAGGTGAGACTTTAGAAAATTTATCGGACACTTTGACATACGACGTGAGACTAGAAAATTTACCAGAAACTTTGACATACGACGTGAGACTTTAGAACATTTATCGGACACTTTGACATACGACGTGAGACTAGAAAATTTACCAGAAACTTTGACATACGACGTGAGACTTTAGAACATTTATCGGACACTTTGACATACGAGGTGATACTTTAGAAAATTTACCAGACACTTTGACATACGAGGTGAGACTTTAGAAAATTTATCGGACACTTTGACATACAACGAGGTGAGACTAGAAAATTTACCAAACCCTTCGACATACGAGGTGAGACTTTAGAAAATTTACGACGTGAGACTTTAGAACATTTATCGGACACTTTGACATACGAGGTGAGACTTTAGAAAATTTACCAGACACTTTGACATACGAGGTGAGACCTTAGAAAATTTATCAGACACTTTGACATATGAGGTGAGACTTTAGAAAATTTATCGGACACTTTGACATACAACCAGGTGAGACTAGAAAATTTACCAGACACTTTGACATACGAGGTGAGACCTTAGAAAATTTATCAGACACTTTGACATATGAGGTGAGACTTTAGAAAATTTACCAGACACTTTGACACGGTGAGACTTTAGAAAATTTACCAGACACTTCGACATATGAGGTGAGACTTTAGAAAATTTACTGGACACTTCGACATACGAGGTGAGACTTTAAAAAATTTACCGGACACTTCGGCATACAATGAGGTGAGACTTTAGAAAATTTACCAGACACTTTGACATACGAGGTGAGACTAGAAAATTTACCAGACACTTCAACATACGAGGTGAGACTTTAGAAAATTTACCAGACACTTTGACATATGAGGTGAGTCTTTAGAAAATTTACCAGACACTTTGACATACGAGGTGAGACTTTAGAAAATTTACCAGACACTTTGACATACGAGGTGAGACTTTAGAAAATTTACCAGACACTTTGACATACGAGGTGAGACTAGAAAATTTGAATATGTTTTCAACCATGTGATGTTGTACCTACCTAGTCATTTGTTGAGGAGTTTATTAACTTTTTTTTAATCCATTCTCAATTGTAGTAATTACTCTCATAAGGATTTTTGGGTTGACAAATATCTGAAACAAACAAGATAAAATGGGAATGGCCAAAAAGAAGTTTTTAAACTGTTAATAGAATCAAAGAAACAGTATGCAAAGCCTGGTGTGCAATGAAACGAATGTGTTTTTATTTTTTCACATTTCTCGCAGACCCAGAAATCACGGACAACCTGAGAAATGACCTGTTGACAAATAACGTGGCACCAAGCAGCCACCCAGGGGCACAAGTTAGTGTGGAGATCCATAACCCTGGCATTGACCTCACGCCAACCAATGAGACTCAGCCACTTTTAACAAATCCTATCCCTACGTAAACTTGTGGCACAGTACTGCCAACATAAACTCTTGAAATCAGGCTTACCCGTCAGTCAAGTGGACAGTCACATGACTTCAGTCAAATGGTCAGTCATGTGACTTCAAATAGCTTCAAGCATCTGATTCAAATGCTGATGATTTACTCAGCGAGTTATAAGAGTGGGTGACCCACCCATATACTGACCCTTTATCTGACCAGAATTTAAAGCAGACCAAACAGAAGACCAGAGTAAAACCAGAGCCAGTCCTGTAGTTTGGTGATCACCCTGGGTAGGTCTAGCCCAGCCCCCCCCCCCCCCCCTCCAGCTTAAAGGTTTCTGTACCAAATAATTGAATGTGATATTTTTAAGTTTTGAAACTGTACACCTTAATGATCTGTAGTTTTAAGGTTATGAATACAAAATGTGTAATGTGTCTTTAAATAAATTCGTTAATTTTGCATTACATAATTTCCATTGCACTATTTTTATCATGCTTGTAGAGGGTTACTGATATAATGAATACATATTGATATAATGAATACAGATACAGATTGATATAATGAATGTATACAGAAATAAAACAGTGAAACCATTGTAAATTAATTTGCTGAAGTAGTGTTCATATACCCCCCCCTAGTAGTGTTCATATACCCCCCCCAGTAGTGTTCATATACCCCCCCCCCCCCAGTAGTGTTCATATACCCCCCCCCCCCAGTAGTGTTCATATACCCCTCCACCCCCAACAGTTCATATAGATGAAGCTGGCTACATCACGTTCTCGTCCATTAAAACATCATGTTGATTTTTGTACACTCAACATCACACATACAGTCAGACCCACCCCCCTCATAGGCCTACTGCCAAACCACCTACTGCCCCCCCCCTCCAACTTATCACCAACAACAAAAATTTAAAAAGCACCCCACCACCACACCACCCCAAACAAATCAAACGAAAAGAAACATTTTTGTTATTTTTAAAGTTATATAATATTAGTATTATTAGAAAATTTCACCTCCCCCATTTAAAAATCATCCAAATATGTGTAGGCCTACCAATCGAATTCTCCACACCCCCCCTTCCCCCCCCCCCCCCCCCCCCCCCCCCCCACGTGAGTGAAATGTAGCTTTATTTAAACTTGAAGCCTCGACCTATAAATGAAGAAAAGTTTGATATCTTGTCCTAGACACTAAGCCTTGGAGTTACCTACCCAAGAATTACCTACCCTTGGAGTTACCTTACCGAGAATTACCTACCCTTGGAGTTAGCTACCCGAGAATTACCTACCCTTGGAGTTAGCTACCCGAGAATTACCTACCCTTGGAGTTACCTACCCTGGAGTAAACGACACAGCTATCAACCTAGGTTCAATCCCCAAATCTCACGAGAACATTATTCTTCTTTGTCCTTAATTCTAGTGTCGGACTGGATTCCCTCCAACATTATTAATATAACGTATCAACTTGTTATGCGCCATCTAGGCGGTTGACTTAATTTCAGAAGTTGTTTGATTTTAGTCTGACCTAGACAAGTAGCTGTCCCAAGCTATCGAGCCTCATCTCCCGAGGGTCGGGGCCTTGACCGACCACGCCGAACAAGTTAGAGCAAGCAAAATTGAAATTTGGTCGCCAATCTTTTTTTTGGGGGGGATTCTATATGGTTTGCGAGATGTAGAATCTAGATATGAAGGTGGACGTGTTTGATAAATATTTTAAATCTAAACATTGATTTAAAAAAAAATATCGCCAGCTTGATTAATTAATTCATGTTAATTAGTGTAGTGCCAATCATAATTAGTAGCAGTAGGGCCTAGAATAACGTTGGCTTCAGAAGTAAAAAAAAAAAATCTTTACTTCTTTCAGCACGTATCATACAGGCACACCACCTCAGTAGCCATACATACATAACATACATAACATACAGACAGACAGACATACATACATACATACATACATACATAACATACATACATACATACATACATACATACATACATTCATACATACATACATACATACATATAACATACATACATACATACATACATACATTCATACATACATACATACATTCATACATACATACATTCATACATACATACATACATACATACATACATACATACATACATACATACACACATTCATACATACATACATACATACATACATAAATACATACATACATACATACATACATACATACATACATACATACATACATACATACATACATACAAACATAGTCTCCTATGGGATTAAGGACGCCATACCTCACCCTCCCTACAACTATATCGCTAAATGTAAGCTACTAAAACAGAAGGCACGTTAGAATATCTCACACCATTCAACGATTGCACCATTCTATATATAGAACTAGGCCTACTTTAACGAGGTAGGTATAGGGCCTACATTATTTTTAGAATAGATTCCACGTACATCTGGTTTTCCCGACATTATTTTGGACGACTTCAACATAAGAAGATACATCAGACTATGTTTTTTAGTGGGACTTAAATTTAAATTAAAGTAGATGAAGTTCTAGAAAACTAAACGAAGACCTGAAAAAAGTGTTTAAAATTCCATACAGCCGACCTACATGCAAGGAATATAATGAAGCTTAAATTAATTGGTATAGCCTTACTTCTTGCAGATTTGGCCTTTTTATCATGTCATGCAAGTAAGTCAGACTTGACATTATCACTAAAATTTGCTAATTAACTAATTGATGTAATTATTTATCAATGAATTCATTGTTCTAACTTGCTTGACTAAAACTTCGTGTGCAAGACACTTATAATTTTACAAGTAGACGAGTAGGTTTCCCCTTTACAAGTAGACGAGTAGGTTTCCCCTTTACAAGTAGACGAGTAGGTTTCCCCTTTACAAGTAGACGAGTAGGTTTCCCCTTTACAAGTAGACGAGTAGGTTTCCCCTTTACAAGTAGACGAGTAGGTTTCCCCTTTACAAGTAGACGAGTAGGTTTCCCCTTTACAAGTAGACAAGTAGGTTTCCCCTTTACAAGTAGACGAGTAGGTTTCCCCTTTACAAGTACACGAGTAGATTTCCCCTTTTACTGGGAATGATTTATTTGTAACTTTTAACATTATAATATTTATTTTAAAAATGATTCTATAGGCAGTATAGTATACGTCTACTCTTTTTATAGGCTATAGCTATAGTGGCATGTTATTATAATTATAAGGTTACACATTTTATAGCCTTTTAAAAAATCTAAAAAAAAAAATGGTTTAACAAAAACAAGTTACTTCTTTTTGTCGATGTAGATCTAGATCTAGATCAGTGTTTCTTCTAGACTTTTTTCTCCGGGGGTAGGGGGCACGAAGTTTTGGGGGGCGGAGGGGGGGGGGGGGTGCGGACACTGTTAAATGTATATATTTTCTATATACATTCCATTTCGTTCGGGGGGGGGGGGGGCGGTAGACCTGCCTGGAAGAAACTCTGATCTAGATGTTATTAGTTCACACAGAGAGAATTGCCTTTTTTTAATGAAAACTGATTGAAGACATACAATCACATATTAAAGAACTATAAGTATGCTGTGGGTGTGAATGTTGTCACATAAAATTGCAAGCACTCATTAGACCTAGATCTAGTAATGATGTTATCGTATAATGACTGAAAGTTTTATGTGTAGGTCAAAACATTTGTTTGTTTACATTTTTAAAAAGTCCAAGTGGGTTATTTTTAGTTTGATAATTGAGTTAGCCCGGGAGTTGAAAGGTCACACAAAGTTTGTGCTCAGTATTGTACGAACCGTTCAACTGTGTAACTGTAGGACAAAGTGTGTGCTCAGTATTGTACGAACCGTTCAACTGTGTAACTGTAGGACAAAGTTTGTGCTCAGTATTGTACGAACTGTTCAACTGTGTAACTGTAGGACAAAGTGTGTGCTCAGTATTGTACGAACCGTTCAACTGTGTAACTGTAGGACAAAGTGTGTGCTCAGTATTGTACGAACCGTTCAACTGTGTAACTGTAGGACAAAGTGTGTACTCAGTATTGTACGAACCGTTCAACTGTGTAACTGTAGGACAAAGTGTGTACTCAGTATTGTACGAACCGTTCAACTGTGTAACTGTAGGACAAAGTGTGTGCTCAGTATTGTACGAACCGTTCAACTGTGTAACTGTAGGACAAAGTGTGTGCTCAGTATTGTACGAACCGTTCAACTGTGTAACTGTAGGACAAAGTTTGTGCTCAGTATTGTACGAACCGTTCAACTGTGTAACTGTAGGACAAAGTGTGTGCTCAGTATTGTACGAACTGTTCAACTGTGTAACTGTAGGACAAAGTGTGTGCTCAGTATTGTACGAACCGTTCAACTGTGTAACTGTAGGACAAAGTGTGTGCTCAGTATTGTACGAACCGTTCAACTGTGTAACTGTAGGACAAAGTGTGTGCTCAGTATTGTACGAACCGTTCAACTGTGTAACTGTAGGACAAAGTGTGTACTCAGTATTGTACGAACCGTTCAACTGTGTAACTGTAGGACAAAGTGTGTGCTCAGTATTGTACGAACCGTTCAACTGTGTAACTGTAGGACAAAGTGTGTGCTCAGTATTGTACGAACCGTTCAACTGTGTAACTGTAGGACAAAGTGTGTGCTCAGTATTGTACGAACCGTTCAACTGTGTAACTGTAGGACAAAGTGTGTGCTCAGTATTGTACGAACCGTTCAACTGTGTAACTGTAGGACAAAGTGTGTGCTCAGTATTGTACGAACCGTTCAACTGTGTAACTGTAGGACAAAGTGTGTGCTCAGTATTGTACGAACCGTTCAACTGTGTAACTGTAGGGCAGCCAACACTAGACCAGCTGACCACTAGCAGATGTCAAGCGGGAAAACCCTTCAAGTGTTTGCCCTACGGAGTCTGCTACAATGCCGACCAGTTTTGCTATTCTGGGAGTCTCGAGTCATGTTTCCCCCGGGACATCCCCGCTGACCAGCTGGAACTGTGGTGCCAATCTTCGGGGCAGAACAGATCTCAGCTGATGCGTGACCGTGACCTCTGCACCCTGGCCTGTCAGGCGAGATTCCCCACACTGGATTTGTCGAATGGTTGGTTTCAAGTTTTTGTACCAATGTTAGGCCTACTAAATAGCTCATGATTTTTAATAAAGATCCACCTAAGCTTTTTTTGTTTACTCTACCAATTTGACACAAGAAAGCTTAAAATTATTTTAAATAAGTGAAAAATTATTTCATTGTGTGCATGAAATTAATGTCTTGATATACCTTGATTTGTTTTTTTTTAATTCTCATATATTAACTGACTGAACAAAATTATTGTCTGCTAAAATGTTGAAAAATGTTCCTGGCAACTGTTTACTGAGTGTCAGTGAGTGTATTTCACTCAACATCTGAATAAGAAGAAAACAACAATGTAAACAAAAATGACTACTTGATATTTTTCATCAACAGCTGTGGAGAAACTGGTCAGTATAAAATGTCCAGCAGACAAGCCACTAAAGTGTCTCCCTGCCGGCATATGTCATGGCTTTGACGAGTACTGCCATGCTGGACAAAACAAATCTTGTTTTGATGGGGGGATGTCGGAGGGGGAACTGTTGCGGTGGTGTCAGGTCCATAACGTCAGTTCAATGCCAGACCCCTCCTGCAAGTTTGCCTGTCAAGTCAGGTTCCCTGCCTCCTCCAACACAGGTGACCTGTCAATTATGTTTTCCTCATGGGTGGGGTGGGGGGGGGGTGCAGGACATACGTCCTGGTAGCATCTAAAATAAGGATTTGGCTAGGAAAAGATATTGTTAGTTTGATAATATTGATATTCATGACCTCTTTCCTAGATGGTTTGTTGTGGTTTATTGAAGCAATCTCACATAGACTCACATTCTTTATATGGGCCTATATATCAATAGATTATATATATATATATATATATATATATATATATATATATATATATATATATATATATATATATATATATATATATATATATATATGGATACAAGTATTTAGTCTGTTTAGTGGTGAAACTATCATAGATAGATTCCTATGTTTTAGAAAACCATGTTGTTGAGTGAATGATGCTTACACTTTGATTACATCAATGATTCTATCAATGCTTACATTAATGATTACATCAGTGCTTACATTAATGATTCTATCAATGCTTACATTAATGATTACATCAATGCTTACCCGTGTTTCTCTCCCATCAGTGAGTTCTGGGTCTGGGCCATGTTGTGAAACTGCCAAGGCTCTAGGCGGTACTCTAGCAGGTGTGGTGGTGCTAGGAATTGTGGGTCTTGTGCTTTACATATGTGTGTGGAGGAGAAGACCACATGGTATGACCTCACCAACCATGTTTGCTTCTAGGCTAAAAATAGAATATCTACTGAGCATTCTCAACAAAACTAATTTCCTTTTTAAAAATATCTTTGGGTAATTTATTTCTAGGTCCAGGAGGAAAGATTGCAGCAGGAAACCGTGGCACCAACAAACCAACGGCAGCAGCTGAGCCATTGATGCCAGAGCAGACACCTGGGGTAGAAGATTCTGGAATAGCCGGCACCAGACGTCTGATCAGAGCCATGTCTGATGAAACAGGAAATGGTTTGGCTGAGAACCTGCATCGTCGAGAAGAAAATGTCACCAATCAGCAGATGGATGCAGTAGACATAACTATAGCAGCTGATCCTTAGAACATCTTGAGTAGATAACTATAGGACCAATTCTAGCACATTCTTGCAAAATAACACTAGTTAGATTGGCGTTTTCCATTCATTACATGACGTCTTGTAGACGAAATAATATTTTCAACGAATGTCTTCAAATACATCTAGTGGACCATCATTTTTTTTTTTAAACCTTAAAATATGTAGACACTAAAATGGTTTTTACATGTAGATATTATAAAATCCAGAGAACTAGTTTTTTCATGCAGAAGGTGGTGTACCCTTGACCTAGTTCATATGATCCATATCAGTTATCCAATTCTATGACATTCAATAATTGCTAAATATTTCGAGATTAAATTGGAGGGAGGTTTAAAGTAACAGCAAAGTATCATAAGGATCACATTTTTAGCTGTAGTCATTAATAAAGTCAATCTAATGTTAGAGATATTTCTAAATTTGCCCCTTAGTTAATTCAATATCTAATGAAGTTTTCTTGCTGTGAGTTGAAAGTATGTAGCTGTTTGAAGTAGTCTACCACTATATCACTGATATTATACTGCATATGACCATTGATAAAAATACACAAGGGCTATATAATTGTATTTTTTAGCAGTTTTAAACTGTTGTCATTGCTGATGTTTTTTTTTTCAATCACTGAATATGTTGGTGTAGGATATACTACCAAATCCTGTATGTTATTTTTGATACTACCAAATCCTGTATGATATTTTTCATACTACCAAATCCTATATGATATTTTTCATACTACCAAATCCTGTATGATATTATTTTGGACACTACTAGATGATGGAATGGAATGAATGTGACTTATGTTTTCAATGCCAGAAGATTAGATTGAATATTTATTGAAATTGTCCTGGGTCTTATTCCTATGTTAATTTGTATTGTTAGTAGATTAAAAAGACAGCAAAAAAATGTTTCCATGTTGAAAGATGGTCAGAACATCAAGTAAAAAAATATTTTGTGCAGGTGAAAATAGTCAGTTGTGAATAAAACTTAGGTATAAATGTGTAATAGGTAAGGTGATGTGTGAGGTGATGTGTGAGGTGATGTGTGAGGTGATGTGTGAGGTGATGTGTGAGGTGATGTGTGAGGTGATGTGTGAGGTGACGTGTGAGGTGATGTGTGAGGTGATGTGTGAGGTGATGTGTGAGGTGATGTGTGAGGTGATGTGTGAGGTGATGTGTGAGGTGATGTGTGAGGTGATGTGTGAGGTGATGTGTGAGGTGATGTGTGAGGTGATGTGTGAGGTGATGTGTGAGGTGATGTGTGAGATGATGTGTGAGGTGATGTGTGAGGTGATGTGTGAGGTGATGTGTGAGGTGATGTGTGAGGTGATGTGTGAGGTGATGTGTGAGGTGATGTGTAAGTGATGTGTAAGTGATGTGTAAGTAATGTGTAAGTGATGTGTATGATGTTCATGGTGATGTTTAAGGTGATATGTAAATATGCTTTGGGTAAAGTAAGCTGTAAATTATGTAAAATTTTGTAAAGTGATTTCTTAAAATAAAGTAAAAAAAAAAGTTTTAATTATTTGTCTTGAAAAATGTTTTTACTAAAACTGTAAGTCTTAGTGCCAGAGCTAGTTTAAAAAAATAGAATTCATGATTTTAAGCAGAGCTATGATCAAGAACTTTTACCGACTAATGATATAATCAACTTTTGTAGCATCTATGCGTTAGGTAGGTGCAGATGTTTTTTTTTTAACCTCAGTCATTTTCTGTTCTGGTAGAGAAAATTGAGAGGACAGAAGTAATAGAACAAATCGTTAGACAGCTCTATCAGGTTTTTAAGAGAATTATGGTAAGGGAGGTAATTAATCATTACGTGATCATGAAGTATTTAAATGACCTCCCAGCGTATACGTATGTGTGACATTAATGTCGCTCTACACAATTACGGCCTGTCACGGTCTGGTGGTGAAATGGTGTAGGGGGGGGGGGGGGAATAACCAACTCAGTAACCAAAGAGTCAGTTTTTAGATGGCTCTCCTAAACATACAAATACAATTATACATATAATTATACTGATTCAGAAATAGATGTGAATAAGTTACTTTGGTATTATGACATTAATATTTTTTTAAAAAAAGAGGGGTCAATGGGGGTTATAACCACCCCCCAAACACCCCTGCCTACGTCACTGAATCCTAATAGCCAGCTGGCGGGCATATGACGGCCGTGTGTTTAAACACAGGGATGATTGTGTTTAAACATAACGTCTTTTGTCAACGAAACTTTATACATCTACCTCCGGTTGTTCCAGCTTGTACCCCTGACCCCTGACTGACCCCCTGACTGACCCCCTGACTGACCCCCTGACTGATCCCCTGTGCAGGACGCCCATCTACTAAGACTACCGCTGGGGAAGTGTGGGCGCCAAACCGCACCCTGCGGCTGAGATGCCACCACTCAGACAGATTTTTTAAATATATGCCTATATATAAATATTTATATATATAGGCCTATATATATATATATATATATATATATATATATATATATATAGGCCTATATATATACATCGAGAGAGAGAGAGAGATCTACTGTTTACATGTTTTTGATAAGCCATCCTCCCTTCCCCCCTCCCCCGCCTTCCATTATGAAACCATCTGTCACACGTTTAAAGCTATGTTGGTCGATATTTGGCTGCATGCTGTTAGAATTCTCCTTTAATAAGACAGAATAAAGTAGTCCTAGCTCTTTGGTAAGACACAATGAGGTAGCCCTAACACTTTAGTGAGACACAATGAGGTAGCACTTTGGTGAGACACAATGAGGTAGCACTTTGGTGAGACACAATGAGGTAGCACTTTGGTGAGACACAATGAGGTAGCACTTTGGTGAGACACAATGAGGTAGCACTTTGGTGAGACACAATGAGGTAGCACTTTGGTGAGACACAATGAGGCAGCACTTTGGTGAGACACAATGAGGTAGCACTTTGGTGAGACACAATGAGGTAGCACTTTGGTGAGACACGATGAGGTAGCACTAACACTTTGGTGAGACACAATGAGGTAGCACTTTGGTGAGACACAATGAGGTAGCACTTTGGTGAGACACGATGAGGTAGCACTTTGGTGAGACACAATGAGGTAGCCCTAATACTTTGGTGAGACACAATGAGGTAGCACTTTGGTGAGACACAATGAGGTAGCACTTTGGTGAGACACGATGAGGTAGCTCTAACACTTTGGTGAGACACGATGAGGTAGCACTAACACTTTGGTGAGACACAATGAGGTAGCACTTTGGTGAGACACAATGAGGTAGCACTTTGGTGAGACACAATGAGGTAGCACTTTGGTGAGACACAATGAGGTAGCACTTTGGTGAGACACGATGAGGTAGCTCTAACACTTTGGTGAGACACGATGAGGTAGCTCTAACACTTTGGTGAGACACAATGAGGTAGCACTTTGGTGAGACACAATGAGGTAGCACTTTGGTGAGACACAATGAGGTAGCACTTTGGTGAGACACAATGAGGTAGCACTTTGGTGAGACACGATGAGGTAGCTCTAACACTTTGGTGAGACACGATGAGGTAGCTCTAACACTTTGGTGAGACACAATGAGGTAGCACTTTGGTGAGACACAATGAGGTAGCACTTTGGTGAGACACAATGAGGTAGCACTTTGGTGAGACACAATGAGGTAGCACTTTGGTGAGACACAATGAGGTAGCACTTTGGTGAGACACAATGAGGTAGCACTTTGGTGAGACACAATGAGGCAGCACTTTGGTGAGACACAATGAGGTAGCACTTTGGTGAGACACAATGAGGTAGCACTTTGGTGAGACACGATGAGGTAGCACTAACACTTTGGTGAGACACAATGAGGTAGCACTTTGGTGAGACACAATGAGGTAGCACTTTGGTGAGACACGATGAGGTAGCACTTTGGTGAGACACAATGAGGTAGCCCTAATACTTTGGTGAGACACAATGAGGTAGCACTTTGGTGAGACACAATGAGGTAGCACTTTGGTGAGACACGATGAGGTAGCTCTAACACTTTGGTGAGACACGATGAGGTAGCACTAACACTTTGGTGAGACACAATGAGGTAGCACTTTGGTGAGACACAATGAGGTAGCACTTTGGTGAGACACAATGAGGTAGCACTTTGGTGAGACACAATGAGGTAGCACTTTGGTGAGACACGATGAGGTAGCTCTAACACTTTGGTGAGACACGATGAGGTAGCTCTAACACTTTGGTGAGACACAATGAGGTAGCACTTTGGTGAGACACAATGAGGTAGCACTTTGGTGAGACACAATGAGGTAGCACTTTGGTGAGACACAATGAGGTAGCACTTTGGTGAGACACGATGAGGTAGCTCTAACACTTTGGTGAGACACGATGAGGTAGCTCTAACACTTTGGTGAGACACAATGAGGTAGCACTTTGGTGAGACACAATGAGGTAGCACTTTGGTGAGACACAATGAGGTAGCACTTTGGTGAGACACAATGAGGTAGCACTTTGGTGAGACACAATGAGGTAGCACTTTGGTGAGACACGATGAGGTAGCACTTTGGTGAGACACAATGAGGTAGCCCTAATACTTTGGTGAGACACGATGAGGTAGCACTAACACTTTGGTGAGACACAATGAGGTAGCACTTTGGTGAGACACAATGAGGTAGCACTTTGGTGAGACACGATGAGGTAGCTCTAACACTTTGGTGAGACACGATGAGGTAGCTCTTTGGTGAGACACGATGAGGTAGCTCTAACACTTTAGTGAGACACAATGAGGTAGCTCTAACATTTTAGTGAGACACAATGAGGTAGCTCTAACACTTTGGTGAGACACAATGAGGTAGCACTTTGGTGAGACACAATGAGGTAGCACTTTGGTGAGACACGATGAGGTAGCTCTAACACTTTGGTGAGACACGATGAGGTAGCTCTAACACTTTGGTGAGACACAATGGGGTAGCACTTTGGTGAGACACAATGAGGTAGCACTTTGGTGAGATACAATGAGGTAGCACTTTGGTGAGACACAATGAGGTAGCACTTTGGTGAGACACGATGAGGTAGCACTTTGGTGAGACACAATGAGGTAGCCCTAATACTTTGGTGAGACACGATGAGGTAGCACTAACACTTTGGTGAGACACAATGAGGTAGCACTTTGGTGAGACACAATGAGGTAGCACTTTGGTGAGACACAATGAGGTAGCACTTTGGTGAGACACAATGAGGTAGCACTTTGGTGAGACACAATGAGGTAGCACTTTGGTGAGACACAATGAGGTAGCACTTTGGTGAGACACAATGAGGTAGCCCTAATACTTTGGTGAGACACAATGAGGTAGCCCTTTGGTGAGACACGATGAGGTAGCCCTAACACTTTAGTGAGACACGATGAGGTAGCCCTAACACTTTAGTGAGACACAATGAGGCAGCCCTTTGGTGAGACACGATGAGGTAGCACTTTGGTGAGACACAATGAGGTAGCACTTTGGTGAGACACAATGAGGTAGCACTTTGGTGAGACACAATGAGGTAGCACTTTGGTGAGACACAATGAGGTAGCACTTTGGTGAGACACAATGAGGTAGCACTTTGGTGAGACACAATGAGGTAGCACTTTGGTGAGACACAATGAGGTAGCACTTTGGTGAGACACAATGAGGTAGCACTTTGGTGAGACACAATGAGGTAGCACTTTGGTGAGACACAATGAGGTAGCACTTTGGTGAGACACGATGAGGTAGCTCTAACACTTTGGTGAGACACAATGAGGTAGCCCTAATACTTTAGTGAGACACAATGAGGTAGCACTTTGGTGAGACACAATGAGGTAGCACTTTGGTGAGACACAATGAGGTAGCACTTTGGTGAGACACAATGAGGTAGCCCTAATACTTTGGTGAGACACGATGAGGTAGCACTAACACTTTGGTGAGACACAATGAGGTAGCACTTTGGTGAGACACGATGAGGTAGCCCTAACACTTTAGTGAGATACAATGAGGTAGCCCTAACACTTTGGTGAGACACGATGAGGTAGCCCTAACACTTTAGTGAGACTATATTAACACAGTCTGTATTAATTTCATGCAACATCAATAATCTTAAGCCGATTTAGCTAATCTCTATTGACTGGATCACATGAACTAAGCTGCAGTATTTCAAACCAGTTTTGAAAGTATTTCCTCCAACATTAAAACGTTTGACATGTTAACGTGACTTGATCTAAATGTTTTGACCCGTTCACGTGACGTGATCTAAATGTTTTGACCCGTTCACGTGACGTGATCTAAACGTTTGACCCGTTCACGCGACGTGATCTAAATGTTTCAACCCGTTCACGTGACGTGATCTAAACGTTTTGACCCGTTCACGTGACGTGATCTAAACGTTTTGACCCGTTCACGTGACGTGATCTAAACGTTTTGACCCGTTCACGTGACGTGATCTAAACGTTTTGACCCGTTCACGTGACGTGATCTAAACGTTTTGACCCGTTCACGTGACGTGATCTAAACGTTTTGACCCGTTCACGTGACGTGATCTAAACGTTTTGACCCGTTCACGTGACGTGATCTAAACGTTTTGACCCGTTCACGTGACGTGATCTAAACATTTGACCAGTCCACGTGACGTGATCTAAACGTTTGACCAGTCCACGTGACGTGACCTCCAGTAGTTTGGTACAGGATGCAGGTGAAGACGTTCATTGTTGCTTTCACCTCGGGCTATACGGCGTGTTGTGTCAGTTTCATCGTTTTCTTCGGAGGCTCACACTTGTCACGTGACACTGCCAGGGTCTTAACGGCAAACTTTGACGTCATTAATGGCACCAGACAGCACGGTAGGTTTGTTGGTCTATATTAAGACAAGGCGTCAAGTCACGTGTAGTTCTATATATAGACAAGGCGTCAAGTCACGTGTAGTTCTATATTTAGACAAGGCGTCAAGTCACGTGTAGGTCTAAATTTAGTCAAGGTGTCAAGTCACGTGTAGGTCTATATTTAGACAAGGCGTTAAGTCACTTGTTGGTGACGTCAAAAGACCAGATTTGACACTTTTGTTCCGCCAGGAGTTGATGACGTCAGCCTAGCCGACCTGAGGAAACAGGTCAAAGTTCTCATTTGGGTGATGACGTCACCAAGTACTCTCAATACGAGGGCGGAAGTGGTAAAAAAAACATGGGCGACACACGCAGAGAAGGTTCTTTATATGAGGTCAGTGGTCAAATACTGACAGGGACATATACTGACAGGGTCAAATACTGACAGGGACATATACTGACAGGGACAAATACTGACAGACAGAGACAAATACTGACAGACAGAGACAAATACTGACAGACAAAGACAAATACTGACAGACAGAGACAAATACTGACAGACAGAGACAAATACTGACAGACAGAGACAAATACTGACAGGGGCAAACACTGACAGACAGAGACAAATACTGACAGGGACACATACTGACAGACAGGGACAAATACTGACAGACAGAGACAAATACTGACAGGGGCAAACACTGACAGACAGAGACAAATACTGACAGACAGTGTCAAACACTGACAGACAGAGACAAATACTGACAGACAGAGACAAATACTGACAGACAGAGACAAATACTGACAGACAGGGGCAAACACTGACAGACAGAGACAAATACTGACAGACAGAGACAAATACTGACAGACAGGGACAAATACTGACAGACAGAACCAAATACTGACAGACAGAGACAAATACTGACAGGGGCAAACACTGACAGACAGAGACAAATACTGACAGACAGAGACAAATTCTGACAGACAGAGACAAATACTGACAGACAGACAAATACTGACAGAGACAAATACTGACAGACAGAGACAAATACTGACAGACAGAGACAAATACTGACAGGGGCAAACACTGACAGACAGAGACAAATACTGACAGACAGAGACAAATACTGACAGACAGAGACAAATACTGACAGACAGAGACAAATACTGACAGGGGCAAACACTGACAGACAGAGACAAATACTGACAGGGGCAAACACTGACAGACAGAGACAAATACTGACAGACAGAGACAAATTCTGACAGACAGAGACAAATACTGACAGACAGAACCAAATACTGACAGAGACAAATACTGACAGACAGAGACAAATACTGACAGACAGGGACAAATACTGACAGGGACAAATACTGACAGACAGAGACAAATACTGACAGGGGCAAACACTGACACTGGCATGATTGTCTTGTTTATATGTCCAATGACTGTCTTGTTTATATGTCCAATGATTGTCTTGTTTATATGTCCAATGACTGTCGTGTTTATATGTCCAATGACTGTCTTGTTTATATGTCCAATGACTGTCGTGTTTATATGTCCAATGATTGTCGTGTTTATATGTCCAATGACTGTCTTGTTTATATGTCCAATGACTGTCGTGTTTATATGTCCAATGATTGTCGTGTTTATATGTCCAATGACTGTCTTGTTTATATGTCCAATGACTGTCTTGTTTATATGTCCAATGATTGTCTTAAGCAGTGATTGTCCATGAATTGACCAGTAACTGTTCTAGCTCCCAGAGCAACTCGAGTTTCCCCGCGATCGGGCTGAACGTGACGGAGGGCAGGGATCAGCTGTCAGTGAAAACCATGGAGGCGTTTAGCTACGTTTATCGTCATCACTTCCAGCAGTTTGATTGGTTCATGAAGGTCAGTCAGCGCTGTAGTCTAGCACGGGGGAATATTTGGGCTACTTTGTACTGCATAAAGGGGTCGTCCATGAATGATGTCACACTCGTAGGGGGAGGGGGGTCCGTAATTTTGTGACGGTGTGTGATGAGGGGGAGGGGTGGGGGGTTCAGATGGTGCGATATCACACTTTTGCATTATAAAAAAGCAATGTTAGAAAACGAATTTTAGACGTTATTTTGCGTTTTATAAAACTGTTTTCATAAATTGCAATAGGAGTCGATTAAAATACTCTATTTTGACAGAGTTCAGACAAGATTTTGAAAAATATCGATGTTTAAAAAAAATTCAACTGCAATTTTGAGGGGGGGGGGGATTGTAGGCTGAGGTGTGACGTCATTTAAGGGAGTGGGTCTGGCTTTTTGTGACGATGTGTGACGGAGGGGAGGGGAGGGGGGGAGGTAAAATCGTCAAAAAAAGCGTGACGTCATTTATGGATGACCCCAAAGTGGATCACCTTCAAGATTTTTGCCTGATGTTGGAGGCAGATGTTGGAGGCAGATGTTGGAGGCAGATGTTGGAGGCAGATGTTGGAGGCAGATGTTGGAGGCAGATGTTGGAGGCAGATGTTGGAGGCAGAGGCTTTAAACCTCGACCCAAAAACTGTGACGTTTTAATGTGTGTCAAGACACGATTTTCTAGGCCTGACCTACAACAGAAACAAGAGTTGAATATTGTTGTCGTCAGGGGTAGAGAATCTGATACAAGAGTTGGAGGGTGGGGGGGGGGGGGGGGAATCTGATACAAGAGTTGGAGGGTGGGGGGTGGGGAATCTGATACAAGAGTTATTGGAGGGGGGGGGGGGGTGAGAATCTGATTTGACTTGAAGAGTTGTTGGGGGAGGGGAGAGAATCTGACATGAAGAGTTGTCTGTGTTTGCCAGGCTGACGACGACACTTACGTCATCGTGGAGAACCTGCTCTTCTTCCTCTCTGACAAGGACTGCAATGACCCGGTTTATTTCGGTAACATCTACAAGGTCAAGGTCAAGCAGGGCTACAACAGGTGATTATCCGGCTATCATCATGTGCTAGTGGAAAGTGTGTCCTGCCGTGTTCTTTGTCCTACCAGTGTATATATTTTCTATATGAATTCCATTTCATTGGGGGGGGGGGGGGGTGACGGTAGACTTTTTTCGTATTGCCCCTCCCCCCCCCTTTAAAGATATGTCTGGAAGAAACTCTGTGTCCTGCATGAGTTGACAGTTGTCCTACTGTGTCCTACACGTGTTGAGAATTGTCCTACCATGTCCTACTTGTGTTGACAGTTGTCCTACATATGTTGATAGTTGTCCTACCATGTCCTACATGTGTTGACAGTTGTCCTACCTGTGTTGACAGTGGTGGGGCCGGCTATGTTCTGAGCAAGGAGGCGCTGAGACGACTGTGCCTGCACGGAGACGCACAGAAGTGCAGACAAGAGGGGAGGGAGGAGGACGTGGCTATGGGCGAGTGCCTGCAAAGACTGGGCGTCAGGGCAGGCGAGACTGTAGACAGCCAGGGCAGGACGAGGTTCCATCCCAACTACCCAGAGTACCATTTGGTGCCCTACTACCCCCCTGCTTACAGCCTGTATGACCTATATAACGGTACTAAAAGTGTGAGTCTAATTATCTCATTAGTAGCACTAATTGATGTGGCCTATGTGTGTTTTGTCAGCTCAAACCATTACGCTTGCCCCAAGTGTCTTGGGACTCGAACCCTAACCATCTGCTAACAATGTTGCAGGGTATAAAATGGATGAGCGACTACGCTGTGAGCTTCCACTACATTAAACCTGGCAAAATGTTGGAGCTGGAATATTTCATCTACCATCTCAGGCCGTACAGTGGAAATAAATATGCACCGAGTCATCTACATAATAAATAATTTCTTAATAAATAAAATCGTAAATATATAGGCTAAACATATAAGCATATAGGCAGTGTATCTTTCAGACATTTTCCCCGGGGGGGGGGGGGGACGGGACTTAAAACTTACGAGGAAGGGGCGGACACCGGTTGCAATAAGCTAGATATATTTATTATAATATTTTCTAGGCAGTATTTTATTTCAGTCAAGAGATGGGGGCGGTAAATGTGCTTCCGCCCCCCCCCCCCCCCCCCGCAGAGATTGTCCGAAAGAAACAATGCATATAATCCTAGATTCTAGATATCTAGATCTAGTATAAAAATTTAGATCTATATTCTAGATCTGAGATCTAGATCTAGAAATCTAGTCATGATAACCCAAAATGACACTACACCGGCTGACACCCAACCTTGAGTCTGAGTAGTAGAGTTTCTTACTTAGCGTCACAGGTTAGATCTAGTTGTCAAGAGATAATCAATACCATAAAGGATGAGTGATATTAGTTATATAAATTAGATAACATAGATCTAGATCTAGATCTAATTTTTTGAAATAGGCCTAGATCTACTATTTAAAAAAATTGTCAACGCTTAATTTTTTTCGAATTTTTTGAAAGGCGTTTTTGTTATAAAAAACGGTCACTTCTAGATCTAGGTCAAATCCGCCATGACACTTTGCGATTAATCAATATTATTAAGCCGGGTAATCTATTTACAGAGAATACAGTGAAGTTGTTTAAAATAAATGTAGACCTAGATCTTAAAATGCTGGCTTAGAACTGTTGGAACATTAAACAATAACGCAATATAGATCTATAATTATTTCTTGCAATTGTTTTATTATGTAGTACCATAATACCTTCCTACATATTCCATATAATTTCGGCAGCCGAAATAGCTCAGTTGGGAGAGCGTTAGACTGAAGATCTAAAGGTCCCTGGTTCGATCCCGGGTTTCGGCACCAATCCGGCGCTTGCCATAACTTTTTTTCGTTTAAGGCGAAATAGAATTATAGTAATTTTAAACAGCACTCTTTAAAAGCTGACTTACGTTTAATGAGTAAATTAGTCTTAAATTGTTTATTAGCTATTTATAAATTATTTATAAGTTATAGGCCTAGCTGCTAGCAATCTATTATCAAATTGAAATTATTAAAATCATCTTGTTCAAACATTTAGTAATTTTGTTGTGAACAATTTTTTTTTTCTGTGTGTAGGCCCTGCAAGCAATAATAAATTATTAGTTTTTATTATATTTTTATTCAAAACACATTCAAGAAAAGAATATTGCACAGTAATATTTTCTAATAAATAAATTAAATGGATGAAAGTACATAGATTTTTTGTTGTATCTGAAAATGTAAATAGATCTAGATCTAGGCCTATATATAAAAAAAATAATTATTGGCAAAATATTTTTTTCTATAGTACTTAGATACACAGTTGTTTGGATTAAAGGTCAAAATATTTCAGCAACATATGGCAACAATTTTATCAAAGTGTGTTTACATCTAGTTAGTCTAAATATGATTTTGTTTTTAAATTTAGTTTTTCTATCCTCTGTGATGAGTAAAAAGGACTTTGCTATCAATTTAAAAAAACCCCAAAAGAAAACAATATAATAAAGAAAAGGAAGTAAATAATTTCAATTCAAATATCTTAAATATAACATTTTATAACAACAAAGTAAGGTTTGTTGACTCTACTACAAACTAAACCAACCAACCAACCAAACAAACAAACAAACAAACAAATAGAAAGTAAAGAGACAGAGCTAAGTGCTCAGCTGTTCTCATCCCTACATTTGTATTGAACTAACTTGTGGGCTTAGGGTTAGGCTTTCATCCTTATCTCGTTCTTCATCATCTTCGTGCTCCTTTTCTTTCTTCATTTTGTCCAGCTCATTATCATTTTTATTGATAGACAAAAGCTCATCAACCTTCCGCAGGTGTTTAGTGATTTTTCTTTGGCCATCATCAGAAAGAATTTGACGACATTTTGGTTGATCCAGAAGGTTTTTGAAGCTCATCAGATTCTCTTCGACTTTGTTGTGAGGGATGTTGTGTGGGCTCTCCTTCTTGTGTGGCCTGTTGGTGTGGGGGTCAGCCGGTGGGTAGCCTAGGTCACAGTGTAGAAACTGGGAGAAGGTCTGGGGGTGGGGCCTGTCTTCCTTACACGGCTCGTCTAAGCTGTCCTCATCTCGGCTGTTGACATGGGTCGACACGGGTCTGTTGACGTGGGTCGACACCGGTCTGCTGAGTGACCTCAGAACACGCGGGTTGTAACATTTTGGGTCGGACACCATTTTGAAAAACAGACTTCTCATAACCTAGATAAATGTCAACAAAAGTTCACCTACACACTAAAGCTAATCTAGCACATACATAAACTAGCTAAATAGTTGTCAACATAGTTATAGATAACAATTTTAAACGCTATCAGACCAAACTAAAAAATTGTCCAGATTTTTAACAAGTTTCATACTACCATAAAAATGGCCAGATTTTGAAGAAGTTTTATACCAACCTGTGCCCTCTGAAGGTGATCTCGTTGGTTGTCAAAAATAATTTCATCCTCAAATGCTGCAAATGTATTTTCATCAGATTCTTGAAAAATAAATATTGAAATAACAAGTCAATGTCTATGTTTCATGTGATATTAGTGCTTCATCATCACAATCAACATAAATATACATCAGTGATACACACAGATTTCCCTCCTCCCTACCTATGTCAAGGTCACACATATTGCCCTCCTGCCTACCTATGTCAAGGTCACACAGATTGCCCTCCTCCCTACCTATGTCAAGGTCACACAGATTGCCCTCCTCCCTACCTATGTCAAGGTCACACAGATTGCCCTCCTCCCTACCTATGTCAAGGTCACACAGATTGCCCTCCTCCCTACCTATGTCAAGGTCACACAGATTGCCCTCCTCCCTACCTATGTCAAGGTCACACAGATTGCCCTCCTCCCTACCTATGTCAAGGTCACACAGATTGCCCTCCTCCCTACCTATGTCAAGGTCACACAGATTGCCCTCCTCCCTACCTATGTCAAGGTCACACAGATTGCCCTCCTCCCTACCTATGTCAAGGTCACACAGATTGCCCTCCTCCCTACCTATGTCAAGGTCACACAGATTGCCCTCCTCCTTGTTGCTGTCACACCTCTGCCTCTCGTGCAGCAGCTCGTCCACTGTGGAGGTGATCACGTGCCAGGCGTAAGTGATGTCGTCATCACAGGCGTACTCAGTACAGAGGGCAAACCTGTTGATGTAAACAACTCACCTGATGTAAACAACTCACCTGATGTAAACAACTCACCTGATGTAAACAACTCACTTGATGTAAACAACTCACCTGATGTAAACAACTCACCTGATGTAAACAACTCACCTGATGTAAACAACTCACCTGATGTAAACAACTCACCTGATGATGTAAACAACTCACCTGATGTATACAACTCACCTGATATAAACAACTCACCTGATGTAAACAACTCACCTGTTGATGTAAACAACTCACCTGATGTAAACAACTCACCTGTTGATGTAAACAACTCACCTGATGTAAACAACTCACCTGATGTAAACAACTCACCTGATGATGTAAACAACTCACCTGATATAAACAACTCACCTGATGTAAACAACTCACCTGTTGTTGTAAACAACTCACCTGATGTAAACAACTCACCTGATGTAAACAACTCACCTGATATAAACAACTCACCTGATGTAAACAACTCACCTGATGATGTAATGCTCATTCAGCAATGCAGGCACCATGTGGAGTTTCCCGCTGTCATTTATTGTCTTCAGGAGTCTTTGGGTCAGTGTGTTTGGGCCCTGGGTAGTTAAGGTTAACCTTTAGTTCTGGTAGTTAAGGTAAACCTTCAGTTCTGGTAGTTAAGGTAAACCTTTAGTTCTGGTAGTTAAGGTAAACCTTCAGTTCTGGTAGTTAAGGTAAACCTTTAGTTCTGGTAGTTAAGGTAAACCTTCAGCTCTGGTAGTTAAGGTAAACCTTCAGTTCGGGTAGTTGAGGTAAACTTAAAGTCTGTGTCTAGGTTCTATGTGAGAGTAGTACCAACACACCATCCTTACTTTACTTAACACAACATCCTTACTTTACTTAACACACCATCCTTACTTTACTTAACACACCATCCTTACTTTACTTAACTCAGTAAGCTTACTTTACTTAACACACCATCCTTACTTTACTTATTAACACACCATCCTTACTTTACCTTTACTTAACACACCATCCTTACTTTACTTAACACACCATCATTACTTACTTAACACACCATCCTTACTTTACTTAACACACCATCCTTACTTTACTTAACACACCATCCTTACTTTACTTAACACAACATCCTTACTTTACTTAGGTTCACATATTTTGTAAAGTATGGGCAGGACTTTTTGTTTTAGAATGTTATATGTACAGCACACTTTAACTCAGGTGAATTCAATTTTCTTTAATTTAAAGAGCACATAAACTAATTACAATAGTTTTTAAAAAATTACATATGAACCATATTTACATACCACACAAACATTTGCCATACAAACCATAAATACATACCCTAAGAACAACCATAAATACATACCCTACAAACCATAAATACATACTCTACAAACCATAAATACATACCCTACAAACCATAAATACATACCCTACAAACATAAATACATACCTTACATTCCATAAATACATACCCTACAAACCATAAATACATACCCTACAAACCATAAATACATACCCTACAAACCATAAATACATACCCTACAAACCACGTATACATACCCTACAAACCATAAATACATACCCTACAAAGCACGTATACATACCCGGAGTCTGAAGCAAACAAGACCCATAGTGACGTCACCCAGTAGCACAAATCTGTTGTCGGATAAAATTTTCTCCTCAAACTCTTTGGCCAAGCGACAATGCTAAGCAATGGGAAATAACCGAGTTTAATTTAAAAAGCTACCAGATTAAGTGAAGTTGCTTCCCTTATCTCAATTTTAACATTCCAGCTTTATACTTTAATTAAATATTTAGAGCCAAAAGTGCTTAATTGACTAGATAATGACATAATTTAAAATATCTATTTTTAAATTTATTTGGCCAGTACAAGCTGTTAGGGTTAGCGTGACACGTGACAGGGGCCTTTGTTAGGGTTATCGTGACGTGATAGGGGCCTTTGTTAGGGTTAACGTGATACGTGACAGGGGCCTTTGTTAGGGTTAGCGTGACACGTGACAGGGGCCTTTGTTAGGGTTCGCGTGACAGGGGCCTTTGTTAGGGTTAGCGTGACACATGGCAGGGGCCTTTGTTAGGGTTAACGTGACACATGACAGGGGCCTTTGTTAGGGTTAGCGTGACACGTGACAGGGGCCTTTGTTAGGGTCAACGTGACACGTGACAGGGGCCTTTGTTAGGGTTAGCGTGACACGTGACAGGGGCCTTTGTTAGGGTTAACGTGACACGTGACAGGGGCCTTTGTTAGGGTTAACGTGACACATGACAGGGGCCTTTGTTAGGGTTAGCGTGACACGTGACAGGGGCCTTTGTTAGGGTTCACGTGACAGGGGCCTTTGTTAGGGTTAGTGTGACACGTGACAGGGGCCTTTGTTAGGGTTAACGTGACACGTGACATGGGCCTTTGTTATGGTTATCGTGATACGTGACAGGGGCCTTTGTTAGGGTTAGCGTGACAGGGGCCTTTGTTAGGGTTAACGTGACACGTGACAGGGGCCTTTGTTAGTGTTAACGTGACACGTGACAGGGGTCTTTGTTAGGGTTCACGTGACAGGGGCCTTTGTTAGGGTTAACGTGATACCTTACAGGGGCCTTTGTTAGGGTTCACGTGACAAGGGCCTTTGTTAGGGTTAGCGTGACACGTGACAGGGGCCTTTGTTAGGGTTAACGTGACACGTGGCAGGGGCCTTTGTTAGGGTTAGCGTGACAGGGGCCTTTGTTAGGGTTAGCGTGACACGTGACAGGGGCCTTTGTTAGGGTTAGCGTGACACTCGACAGGGGCCTTTGTTAGGGTTAACGTGACCCGTGACAGGGGCCTTTGTTAGGGTTAGCGTGACACGTGACAGGGGCCTTTGTTAGGGTTAACGTGACACATGACAGGGGCCTTTGTTAGGGTTAGCGTGACACGTGACAGGGGCCTTCGTTAGGGTTCACGTGACACGTGACAGGGGCCTTTGTTAGGGTTATCGTGATACGTGACAGGGGCCTTTGTTAGGGTTAGCGTGACACGTGACAGGGGCCTTTGTTAGGGTTCACGTGACAGGGGCCTTTGTTAGGGTTAGCGTGACACGTGACAGGGGCCTTTGTTAGGGTTAGCGTGACACGTGACAGGGGCCTTTGTTAGGGTTAGCGTGACAGGGGCCTTTGTTAGGGTTAACGTGACACGTGACAGGGGCCTTTGTTATGGTTATCGTGATACGTGACAGGGGCCTTTGTTAGGGTTATTCTGATACGTGACAGGGGCCTTTGTAAGAGTTAACGTGACACGTGACAGGGGCCTTTGTTAGGGTTAACGTGACACGTGACAGGGGTCTTTGTTAGGGTTCACGTGACAGGGGCCTTTGTTAGGGTTAACGTGATACCTTACAGGGGCCTTTGTTAGGGTTAGCGTGACACGTGACAGGGGCCTTTGTTAGGGTTAGTGTGACACGTGACAGGGGCCTTTGTTAGGGTTAACGTGACACGTGACAGGGGCCTTTGTTAGGGTTAGCGTGACAGGGGCCTTTGTTAGGGTTAACGTGACACGTGACAGGGGCCTTTGTTATGGTTATCGTGATACGTGACAGGGGCCTTTGTTAGGGTTAACGTGATACCTTACAGGGGCCTTTGTTAGGGATAGCGTGATACGTGACAGGGGCCTTTGTTAGGGTTAGCGTGACACGTGACCGGGGCCTTTGTTAGGGTTATCGTGTCACGTGACCAAACATCAGCACATGGGCCAGCGATTTCTCGCTGCTTCGCAAAATGGCCAGCCAAAGTAGCAAATAAAAGGACCATGTCAAGTACCCAACATAGGACCGACCTTGGTCAAAACTCTAAAATGATTGGTCAGTTTGGGGACAGGTTGTGACGTAGGTTGTGACGTAGGCATGAGTTACCTCCCTGATCCGTTTCTGCAGCCCCTCCAGCCCGTAAGTCCTGATGACGAACCAAAGTTTGAGGGCTCGAAATCTGCGACTCAGCGGGATCCCCCAATGCTGAAGTAGGATGACATTTTACACAAGTAGGATGACATTTTACACAAGTAGGGTGACATTTTACACAAGTAGGATGACATTTTACACAAGTAGGGTGACATTTTACACAAGTAGGATGACATTTTACACAAGTAGGATGACATTTTACACAAGTAGGATGACATTTTACACAAGTAGGATGACATTTTACACAAGTAGGATGCCATTTTACACAAGTAGGATGACATTTTACACAAGTAGGATGACATTTTACACTAGTAGGATGACATTTTACACTAGTAGGATGACATTTTACACAAAAAATGACATTTTACACTAGTAGGATGGCATTTTACACTAGTAGGATGACATTTTACACTAGTAGGATGGCATTTTACACAAGTAGGATGACATTTTACACTAGTAGGATGACATTTTACACAAGTAGGATGACATTTTACACAAGTAGGATGACATTTTACACAAGTAGGATGACATTTTACACTAGTAGGATGACATTTTACACAAGCAGGATGACATTTTACACTAGTAGGATGGCATTTTACACTAGTAGGATGACATTTTACACAAGTAGGATGACATTTTACACTAGTAGGATGGCATTTTACACAAGTAGGATGACATTTTACACTAGTAGGATGACATTTTACACTAGTAGGATGACATTTTACACAAGTAGGATGACATTTTACACTAGTAGGATGGCATTTTACACTAGTAGGATGACATTTTACACAAGTAGGATGACATTTTACACAAGTAGGATGACATTTTACACAAGTAGGATGACATTTTACACTAGTAGGATGACATTTTACACAAGTAGGATGACATTTTACACAAGTAGGATGACATTTTACACTAGTAGGATGGCACACCGACCATGGAATTGAGCGACTCAGCTAAAATCCGACATGTATCTTACCCTCAGGTCAATGGCCTTGTCGCCGTGTCTGTGCTGTAGATAAAGTGGGTCAACGGTCAAGGCCGTGGTCAGTGTCTCGACGCTCTTTACCCTGTCAAAGGTTAAAGGTTATCAGTTCACCTTGAAGTAAAATGAACCAGGTAATTTCTGTAGACTTTGTTTTAGTGCAGGGGCGTAGCGACCTATTTCGGCACCCGGGGAGCTTCAATTTTACACCACCCCTTGTATTATATAGACATATATGTGAACAAGCACCCAACTCGAAAAGGTCGGGACGCTGTCACCCAGTCACTGTATCATTGACATTTTTATCTCAAACAATTGGTGCTAAATCAGTCCGTCAAACCAATACAGCCCAGTCAAAGTTCACTTTCAAACCTGACGGTCTATTTTTAAACCTCGCGGTCTACGGGGCAATTGAAGTAGAGTTCACTTGTTTCTGTGAACCTGACGCTCAACGGGGCAGGTGAAGTAGAGTTCACTTGTTTCTGTGACCTCGGCATACAGCTCAGAATGAGCTTTAATTTGTTTTTATTTCAACCTCGTTTGGCGCCCCCTAAGGTCGGCGCCCAGGGCGGCCACCCCACCCTTTCTCACCTAGACGCCTCTGACTTTATGACACTAACAGCCAACATCATCATACCACAGTATCAAACAGTCAACATCTTCATACACAGAAACAATCAACATCATCTTACCACAGAAACAGTCAACATCATCATACACAGAAACAATCAACATCATCTTACCACATGAGCGAACAGTCGAAGTTGACCTGTAGCCATTTGTTTGTATTGAAGCCAAACGAGTCCACATTCTAAGAGAGTGGGAGAAATATTTGGTCAATGCCCAGCTAGATCTCTCCCATAACACCAGAAATGTCTGATCTCCCCACCTCCCCCCCCCCCCACACAGAGGGAATATATTTAGGTAAATTGACGAACATACACTCAGTATCGTCAATGTCAAAGTAACCACATATTCAACTGTTGAGGAACGTATTTACCTACCTCCCCCGCTTCTTCAACACAGTCGTCAGTAAATCCAGACCAAGTAACCAGACCAAGTAACTAGACCAAGTAACATGACCAAGTTACCAGACCAAGTTACCAGACCAAGTAATCTGACCAAGTAAAATGACCAAGTAACATGACCAAGTAACATGATCAAGTAACATGACCAAGTAACCTGACCAAGTAACATGACCAAGTAACATGACCAAGTAACCTGACCAAGTAACATGACCAAGTAACTAGACCAAGTAACTAGACCAAGTAACCTGACCAAGTAACCTGACCAAGTAACCTGACCAAGTAGCCTGACCAAGTAACCTGACCAAGTAACCCGACCAAGTAACATGACCAAGTAACATGACCAAGTAACATGGCCAAGTAACCTGACCAAGTAACATGACCAAGTAATATGATCAAGTAATATGACCAAGTAACATGACCAAGTAACATGACCAAGTAACCTGACCAAGTAACATGACCAAGTAACTAGACCAAGTAACTAGACCAAGTAACTAGACCAAGTAACCTGACCAAGTAACCTGACCAAGTAACTTGACCAAGTAACCTGACCTAGTAACATGACCAAGTAACCTGACCAAGTAACCCGACCAAGTAACATGACCAAGTAACCTGACCAAGTAACCTGACCAAGTAACATGACCAAGTAACCTGACCAAGTAACATGACCAAGTAACTAGACCAAGTAACTAGACCAAGTAACCTGACCAAGTAACCTGACCAAGTAACCCGACCAAGTAACATGACCAAGTAACATGACCAAGTAACCTGACCAAGTAACCTGACCAAGTAACCTGACCAAGTAACCTGACCAAGTAACCTGACCAAGTAACCTGACCTAGTAGCCTGACCAAGTAACCTGACCAAGTAACCCGACCAAGTAACATGACCAAGTAACATGACCAAGTAACATGACCAAGTAACCTGACCAAGTAACCTGACCAAGTAACATGACCTTACTGACTTCTTAGACCACTGAACCCAAATTATTCAATAATTGATTTTGAACCCTTAAATCATTGACCTTGAAACCCTTAATGACTGACCTTGACCCTTTAAATCACTGACCTCGACCCCTTCAATAAGGAACTGAAACTCTGGACAGATGAGAGCATTGCCGGCATAAGCAGCGTCGACGTGCAGGTAGACGCCGTGTCTGGTGCAGACGTCCCCCAGCTCCTGCAGGTTGTCGAAGGAACAGCAGGCCGTGGTACCCAGGGTCGCACACACCTGGGTCAATAGTGGACGTTACTAGTGATGTTACGTCACGTGGTGCCCAGGGTCAATAGTGGACGTTACTAGTGATGTTACGTCACGTGGTGCCCAGGGTCAATAGTGGACGTTACTAGTGATGTTACGTCACGTGGTGCCCAGGGTCAAAAGTGGACGTTACTAGTCATGTTACATCACGTGGTGCCCAGGGTCAATAGTGGACGTTACTAGTGATGTTACATCACGTGGTGCCCAGGGTCAATAGTGGACGTTACTAGTGATGTTACGTCACGTGGTGCCCAGGGTCAATAGTGGACGTTACTAGTGATGTTACATCACGTGGTGCCCAGGGTCAATAGTGGACGTTACTAGTCATGTTACATCACGTGGTGCCCAAGTCAATAGTGGACGTTACTAGTCATGTTACATCACGTGGTGCCCAACGTGGTGCCCAGGGTCAATAGTGGACGTTACTAGTGATGTTACGGTACGTGGTGCCCAGGGTCAATAGTGGACGTTACTAGTCATGTTACATCACGTGGTGCCCAACGTGGTGCCCAGGGTCAATAGTGGACGTTACTAGTGATGTTACGTCACTCGGTGCCCAGGGTCAATAGTGGACGTTACTAGTCATGTTACATCACGTGGTGCCCAGGGTCAATAGTGGACGTTACTAGTGATGTTACATCACGTGGTGCCCAGGGTCAATAGTGGACGTTACTAGTGATGTTACATCACGTGGTGCCGAGGGTCAATAGTGGACGTGACTAGTGATGTTACGTCACGTGGTGCCCAGGTATCTTACATCAAGTGGGCCTTACATGAATAATATGAGGGCCCAACATAGACGACACCAGCTTTAAAAAAAAACCAGGAATCTTGTTACTATAAATAGCTGTAGATAAGTACTCACAAAAATGGAATCTTGTTACTATAAATAGCTGTAGATGAGTACTTACATAAAATGGAATCTTGTTACTATAAATAGCTGTAGACGAGCACTTACAAAAAATGGAATCTTGTTACTATAAATAGCTGTAGACGAGTACTCACAAAAAATGGAATCAGCCCGAGCTTTTTATCCTCCTGCACAGGAAAAAGTTTTAAAGCAGGCGTTAGTAAGGTTAAGGATTAGGGTTAGGATTATCAGAATTTTTCTTCAGTTCAATGTGTCAGCCAATCAGATTGTACCTCGATGGCGTCCTCCAACACGTGACCTCGCAGTGAGAACTTCTCGTCCACATCCAGGTGTCGCATCTTGACAAACCCGATCATGCCAGCCTTCTCCACGCATGAGTGAGCCTGAAACCATTTTACACTCAAGGTCACGTTAACTCAAGTGTATCCAGTTCAAGGTCATTTACAGTTTCATTGAAATATTTTACAGTAGTCTGACACATCCACAACCACCCACACATCCACCGCCACCCACACATCGACCACCACCCACACATCCACCCAAACATTCACCACCCACCCATACATCCACCCACACATCCACCACCACACTCACATCCACCACCTACACATCCACCACCTACAGATCCACCACCACCCACACATCAACCTCCACCCCCACCCACACATCCACCACCCCCACAAGTTCACCACCACCTACAGATCCACTACTGCCCACACATCCATATTATCCCCACATTGAGTTCCACCTATACATCCCCACATTGAGTTCCGCCTATACATCATGAACTATATTATCCCCCCATTGAGTTTCGCCTATACATCCATATTATCCCCCCATTGAGTTTCGCCTATACATCCCCACATTGAGTTCCGCCTATACATCCCCACATTGAGTTCCGCCTATACATCCCCACATTGAGTTCCGCCTATACATCCCCCCCCCCACATTGAGTTCCGCCTTTACATCCCCACATTGAGTTCCGCCTATACATCCATATTATCCCCCATTGAGATGCGCCTATACATCCCCACATTGAGTTCCGCCTATACATCCCCACATTGAGTTCCGCCTATACATCCCCACATTGAGTTCCGCCTATACATCCCCCCCCCCACATTGAGTTCCGCCTTTACATCCCCACATTGAGTTCCGCCTATACATCCCCACATTGAGTTCCGCCTATACATCCCCCCCCCCACATTGAGTTCCGCCTATACATCCATATTATCCCCACATTGAGTTCCACCTATACATCCCCCCCCCCCATTGAGTTCCGCCTATACATCATGAACTATATTATCCCCCCATTGAGTTTCGCCTATACATCCCCCCATTGAGTTTCGCCTATACATCCCCACATTGAGTTCCGCCTATACATCCCCCCCCCCATTGAGTTCCGCCTATACATCCCCACATTGAGTTCCGCCTATACATCCCCCATTGAGTTCCGCCTATACATCCCCCCATTGAGTTCCGCCTATACATCCATATTATCCCCACATTGAGTTCCGCCTATACATCCCCACATTGAGTTCCGCCTATACATCCCCCCCCCCACATTGAGTTTCGCCTATACATCCCCCCCCCCCCCATTGAGTTCCGCCTATACATCCCCCCCCCCCCCATTGAGTTCCGCCTATACATCCCCCCATTGAGTTCCGCCTAATGAACTAATCATGACAGCTGTAGCTGTAGAAGAAAGGTCAAGGTGAGCCACTGACCAGCTTGGAGCAGTAGCCGACCAGCTTTGAGAGCAGTTGACCGTCCTCTATGTACGGCTGCTTGAGCTTGAGGCTCTTGATGCTCTTATGTCGGGCAGACAGCAGCGCCACCAACACACACTCACTGGCTGAACCCTGGGGTCAAAGGTCGGCATTAACAAACAATCTCATTGGTCAAGAGATTAGCAAATAAATAATTTGATTGGTCAAGAGATTAGCAAAAAAAATAATTTGATTGGTCAAGAGATTAGCAAAAAAATAATTTGATTGGTCAAGAGATTAGCAAAAAAATTAATTTGATTGGTCAAGAGATTAGCAAAAAAATAATTTGATTGGTCAAGAGATTAGCAAAAAAATTAATTTGATTGGTCAAGAGATTAGCAAAAAAATAATTTGATTGGTCAAGAGATTAGCAAACAAATAATTTGATTGGTCAAGAGATTAGCAAACAAACAATTTGATTGGTCAAGACATTAGCAAACAAACAATTTGATTGGTCAAGACATTAGCAAACATCATCCTGTTTTACCTGTATAACGCCCCCTCCCTGCCCGCTCGTGTGAAGGAACCGGTTAGGCAGGCCAATCATTTGACCTGAAAAGTTGGGACAAACTTTGACATTGTCTATAGGCAGGCGGAATTTTAATGACAAACTTTGACATTGTCTATAGGCAATCCAGTCGAGTGTCAAACTTCAAAGTCAATTACCGATCCAGTCGAGTGTGGAAGTTCAAGGTCGCTCACCGAGCCAATCGTGTCGAAGTTCAAGGTCACTTACCGATCCAGTCGTGTCGGAGTTCAAGGTCACTCACAGAGCCAGTCGTGTCGAAGTTCAAGGTCAGTTACCGATCCATTCGATTGTGGAAGTTCAAGGTCGCTCCCCGAGCCAGTCGTGTCGAAGTTCAAGGTCACTAACCGATCCAGTCGTGTCGAAGTTCAAGGTCACTTACCGACCCAGTCGAGTGTGGAAGTTCAAGGTCACTTACCGATCCAGTCGTGTCGAAGTTCAAGGTCACTTACCGATCCAGTCGTGTCGAAGTACAAGGTCACTTACCGATCCAGTCGAGTGTGGAAGTTCAAGGTCACTTACCGATCCAGTCGTGTCGGAGTTCAAGGTCACTTACCGATCCAGTCTAGCATGAGAGTCTCGAGCTCCACACAGGCGGGACTTGCAGCCTGGGGAACAAACATGACCGACACTGTTGTCTACGTCACATACAGGGGGGGGGGGGGGGGGGGGGTCACGGTCGGGTCACCCAATTATAACGTTCATAAAAATATCAATTAGAAACCCCCCTCTCTCATTTTACACATTTCGGACGAACCCCCACCCAACCCTCGAGTTTCAGGAGAGATCAAAGGGAACAAAATAAAAAAAAAATTCTAGCCTCCCTAGAACTGATTGAGATCTGTTAGCTTAAACAATCACACCGCTACAGACAAACAGACAAACACATCTCTCACCCACGAGAAGCCGATGCAGCCAATGACGTCAGACAACATGTCCGCAAGGATCGACGGGAAGGAATTACCGGAAGCGAAGTAGGCGTGGAAGTTTGGGTGCTGCCAGTGTGTGATCTGTGGGCAGAAGAGTCACGTGATGGTACTGGTCAACTGGTCAAACTTTGGTCTGTCAAACTTTTGTCTGTCAAACTTTGGTCTGGTCCAACTTTTGTCTGTCAAACGTTTGTCTGTCAAGCTTTTGTCTGTCAAACATTTGTCTGTCAAACATTTGTCTGTCAAACGTGTATCTGTCAAACATTTGTCTGTCAAACTTTGGTCTGTCAAACGTTTGTCTGTCAAACATTTGTCTGTCAAACATTTGTCTGACAAACATTTGTCTGTCAAACTTTTGTCTGTCAAACATTTGTCTGTCAAACATTTGTCTGTCAAACGTGTGTCTGTCAAACGTGTGTCTGTCAAACATGTGTCTGTCAAACTTTTGTCTGTCAAACTTTGGTCTGTCAAACATTTGTCTGTCAAACTTGACAGACCCCAGGCATGACAGCTCTCTCCAGGTCCGCCATGATGGTCTCCCACTCCTCCCCCTTCTTGGGTGCTGCGGCAGGAAGTAGTGTCCTGATGTAGCCAGGCTCCACTTCCGGTGTGACTGGCCTTGACCGTATGTTGACCATGTAGTCTGCTATGTAGTCCACCATCTCCCGCCCCCGCTTTCTGAACTCTGAGGCATCCATCTTCAGCTCCTGTCTAAAGGACATCAGCCATAACGTCTAGCTGACAGCCATAACAACTGTCTAGCTGACAGCCATAACAACTGTCTAGCTGACAGCCATAACAACTGTCTAGCTGACAGCCATAACAACTGTCTAGCTGACAGCCATAACAACTGTCTAGCTGACAGCCATAAGACTAACTGTCTAGCTGACAGCCATAACAACTGTCTAGCTGACAGCCATAACAACTGTCTAGCTGACAGCCATAACAACTGTCTAGCTGACAGCCATAAGACTAACTGTCTAGCTGACAGCCATAACAACTGTCTAGTTGACAGCCATAACAACTGTCTAGCTGACAGCCGTAACAACTGTCTAGCTGACAGCCATAACAACTGTCTAGCTGACAGCCATAAGACTAACTGTCTAGCTGACAGCCATAACAACTGTCTAGCTGACAGCATTAATAACTGTCTAGCTGACAGCATTAACAACTGTCTAGCTGACAGCCATAACAACTGTCTAGCTGACAGCCATAAGACTAACTGTCTAGCTGACAGCCATAACAACTGTCTAGCTGACAGCCATAACAACTGTCTAGCTGACAGCCATAAGGCCAACTGTCTAGTTGACAGCCATAACAACTGTCTAGCTGACAGCATTAATAATTGTCTAGCTGACAGCCATAACAACTGTCTAGCTGACAGCCATAACAACTGTCTAGCTGACAGCCATAACAACTGTCTAGCTGACAGCCATAACAACTGTCTAGCTGACAGCCATAACAACTGTCTAGCTGACAGCCATAACAACTGTCTAGCTTACAGCCATAACAACTGTCTAGCTGACAGCCATAACAACTGTCTAGCTGACAGCCATAACAACTGTCTAGCTGACAGCCATAACAACTGTCTAGCTGACAGCCATAACAACTGTCTAGCTGACAGCCATAACAACTGTCTAGCTGACAGCCATAACAACTGTCTAGCTGACAGCCATAACAACTGTCTAGCTGACAGCCATAAGACTAACTGTCTAGCTGACAGCCATAACAACTGTCTAGCTGACAGCCATAACAACTGTCTAGCTGACAGCCATAACAACTGTCTAGCTGACAGCCATAAGACTAACTGTCTAGCTGACAGCCATAACAACTGTCTAGTTGACAGCCATAACAACTGTCTAGCTGACAGCCGTAACAACTGTCTAGCTGACAGCCATAACAACTGTCTAGCTGACAGCCATAAGACTAACTGTCTAGCTGACAGCCATAACAACTGTCTAGCTGACAGCATTAATAACTGTCTAGCTGACAGCATTAACAACTGTCTAGCTGACAGCCATAACAACTGTCTAGCTGACAGCCATAAGACTAACTGTCTAGCTGACAGCCATAACAACTGTCTAGCTGACAGCCATAACAACTGTCTAGCTGACAGCCATAAGGCCAACTGTCTAGTTGACAGCCATAACAACTGTCTAGCTGACAGCATTAATAATTGTCTAGCTGACAGCCATAACAACTGTCTAGCTGACAGCCATAACAACTGTCTAGCTGACAGCCATAACAACTGTCTAGCTGACAGCCATAACAACTGTCTAGCTGACAGCCATAACAACTGTCTAGCTGACAGCCATAACAACTGTCTAGCTTACAGCCATAACAACTGTCTAGCTGACAGCCATAACAACTGTCTAGCTGACAGCCATAACATCTGTCTAGCTGACAGCCATAACAACTGTCTAGCTGACAGCCATAACAACTGTCTAGCTGACAGCCATAACAACTGTCTAGCTGACAGCCATAGCAACTGTCTAGCTGACAGCCATAACAACTGTCTAGCTGACAGCCATAACAACTGTCTAGCTTACAGCCATAACAACTGTCTAGCTGACAGCCATAACAACTGTCTAGCTGACAGCCATAACAACTGTCTAGCTGACAGCCATAACAACTGTCTAGCTGACAGCCATAACAACTGTCTAGCTGACAGCCATAACAACTGTCTAGCTGACAGCCATAACAACTGTCTAGCTGACAGCCATAACAACTGTCTAGCTGACAGCCATAACAACTGTCTAGCTGACAGCCATAACAACTGTCTAGCTGACAGCCATAAGACTAACTGTCTAGCTGACAGCCATAACAACTGTCTAGCTGACAGCCATAACAACTGTCTAGCTGACAGCCATAACAACTGTCTAGCTGACAGCCATAAGACTAACTGTCTAGCTGACAGCCATAACAACTGTCTAGCTGACAGCCATAACAACTGTCTAGCTGACAGCCATAAGACTAACTGTCTAGCTGACAGCCATAACAACTATCTAGTTGACAGCCATAACAACTGTCCAGCTGACAGCCATAACAGCTGTCTAGCTGGCAGCCATAACAACTGTCTAGCTGACAGCCATAACAACTGTCTAGCTGACAGCCATAAGACCAACTGCCTAACTGACAGCCATAACAACTGTCTAGCTGACAGCCATAACAACTGTCTAGCTGACAGTCATAAGACTAACTGTCTAGCTGACAGCAATAGCAACTGTCTAGCTGACAGCCATAACAACTGTCTAGCTGACAGCCATAAGACCAACTGTCTAGCTGACAGCCATAAGACCAACTGTATATCTTGCAGCCATAAGACCAACTGTCTATCTTGCAGCCATAAGACCAACTGTCTAGCTGACAGCCATTACAACTGTCTAGCTGACTGCCATAAGACCAACTGTCTAGCTGTTTATCTACACAACTAAAGCTAATGTCAAATATAAATTGGATATGTACACGACTAAAGCTGCCACATATAAATTGGGTATCTACACGACTAAAGACTTTCTGATCAAGTTGACAATATTCATTTAATTCGATTTTCGAGGTGATGATAGAACATTTAAGCAATACACTTATGAAAGAGATGGTTAACATGAAATCTTAAGTTATGGGAGAGATGTTACAGTTACAGATATAAAGTTGTGGGAGTGACAGATATAAAGTTGTGGGAGTGATGTTACACATATAAAGTTGTGGGAGTGATGTTACAGATATAAAGTTGTGGGAGTGATGTTACAGATATAAAGTTGTGGGAGTGATGTTACAGATATAAAGTTGTGGGAGTGATGTTACAGATATAAAGTTGTGGGAGTGATGTTACAGATATAAAGTTGTGGGAGTGATGTTACAGATATAAAGTTGTGGGAGTGATGTTACAGATATAAAGTTGTGGGAGTGATGTTACAGATATAAAGTTGTGGGAGTGATGTTACAGATATAAAGTTGTGGGAGTGATGTTACAGATATAAAGTTGTGGGAGTGATGTTACAGATATAAAGTTGTGGGAGTGATGTTACAGATATAAAGTTGTGGGAGTGATGTTACAGATATAAAGTTGTGGGAGTTGTGACCTACTTAAGTCTTGTAATGTTTTATTTTGACATTGTCATAATACCATATATGGTCGATGGTGCAACAACCCGGTTTTTTCCACTGTCTTACTAAGAGAGTCTAAGACTCAGAAATTTTCCATCAAGATCTGATTGATTGATTCAGACCAGATGACCACCCCAACCAATGGCCACATGAGTTGAGGGTAACCTCCCATGAGGCCTAAGTCTATAACTAGATCGCCCACAGGCGGCACGAGGCAGTCCACATTGACCAGGCCGTCCATTTTGACCGGCAGTCTATTCTGACCATTTGAACGTGAGAGAGCTTAAGTCCTGAGTGTGCTATGCTTTCTTAAGTTGTTTAAGTATTCTAGTATTATATTACTTGTGGCCAAGTGATTCTTGATGCTATAGCAGTGTTATGTGACCTGTGGCTATTTTTATACAGTGTTAGAATCTGTGATAGTATTTTTTCTTACGCTTAGTAAGTTGGGTTTTGTTATTTTCTAAACTAAATATTTTATCTTGTTTAACCTTGTGTTCTGCCACAACTGTGTTCGCTTATTAAAGGTTGTATGCAGATTGAATGAGTTGTTAACTTCAATAGTTTCACTAGTTTTCCCTAGACATCGAAATCGAGCCCTAGTGTGTTGTTGAGTTAGTGTTCATTCATTTAGGCTTTAAGTCATTTGCATATAACCCCAAGAAAGAATCCGGGGGCGTTCACCATCTATCTGGCTGGTAGATAGGTGTCCGTTACAAAGTGGGGTCTCGCCGGCATTTAATCTGTCGTTCCAGTTGTTGGTTGTATCAGTTAAACACTAAGTTTAGTTTGATTTAGTTGTTTTTCTATCCAGTGGAGCCGTGTTATTAAAACACGCCCAAGGCCAGAGTTATCTAGGTCAAAAGCCAGACGTGTCACGTCCTAGATTGAAGAGGTCAAGTTCATAACGCAGCGTTGGGCCGTGTTAATTTAGAGAATCTAGGCTTGTTGTGATTTTGAAGTTAGTGTTATGGAATCTTTTTTGTCTAATCCCACTGTTGAGGAGGTAGAGAAGTTGAGTAGGAAAGTTTTGATTAGTGTTGTTAAGGAATTGAAATTGGATTATTCTGTTACGCAGAAATCAGAGGTGTTGAGAGATAAAATTGTTGTTCATTTTATTAATGAAGGTGTATTTGATGAAAGTTTGTTGGCTGGGGTGATACTCCGTGAGGAGAAACCTCTAGAGAAGGTAGAATTAGAAGCTAGAATTGCTTTAGAGAAACAGGAGTTAGAGGCTAAAATTGCTTTAGATAAGAGGAGGTTGGAATTAGAATTTGGTAAAGTTAGTGAAGTCACTTCTCTGGTAGATCCAAAAAAGTTGTCGGTGGGGCAAGTGATTGCCAAATTTGGGAAATTAGTTCCTAAATTTGATGAAACAGATTTGGTCGTTTTCTTTAACTCATTTGAGAGTTTAGCGAAGACATGTGAATGGCCCGAAACTTCCATTACTGCTTTATTGAGCACGGTCCTTACAGGGAAAGCTGCAAAAACATACCAGGCACTCTCTCACGACGTTCAAAATAACTATAGTTTGGTCAAGACTGCCATTTTGAAGGCCTACGAACTGACGCCCGAGGCCTATCGGATAAAATTCCGAGCACTCC